CACCAAAAATCATTTAGACAGAGAAGCAAAGTATGCACTCTATGGACAGTATAACAACAACAATTTATTTCTCTTGTAATATTTAAAATCACATTTATTTTAAAATAACAGAATATGAACATGACATGTAGACAGTATAATTTTTTGTTTGAATATCTATTATATAAAATGCTGACCCAAAATAGTTGAAAAGTAGGCTTTGTTATGCATATCTATCTATTATATACAAATTGTAGAACTTCCATAATTTTTATAATGTGGAAGATGAGGCTTAAAGAAGATCAGAAAGATAATTATACAAAGTATACTACTACTATGCTTTTACCATATTTTTGCCATTAAAATTGTTTTCTTATTCTATATAAAAGTGCTCATTGCATGCTTGACATTTGGTGACCACATGTACAATGCAAATTTTCATAGAAAATGAAGGTTGAATACTTTGGGTATGTCATCTTGTTTCCAAAATTGTCTTATGTGATTCCTTCTAAAATGTGTTTGTGCTACAAAAATCACTTGGGGGTACCTTAGTTGTGTTAGCCAAGTGTCTGATATAATGTAATTTATTTGGAAATACAGCCACATTCATGAGATGAAGGACAAGTTCAAACACGTGTCTAAAAGTGTGTACAAATGTCACCCACATGGAAGGTCCATAGAATTGTCCGTGCTTCTTAGCGAGAAACTAAGAAAAGTCAATCCAACCTCAAGAAGGAACAAAGACCAACACAAAATTTGTTTTCATTTTTGCTTCTCATCAAACAATTACCAAATTTTATCTCCCACACACAATTGCATTAACTAACATTCCGGTAAAAATTAAATTGTACTTACAATCAAACAATGCCGAATCTTTAGATCCTTTTTTCTCTTAGGTTAAATTTTTTTTTTTTTTTGATAAGTTCTCTTAGGTTCATTTAAAAGCAACTAACAGCCAGAAACAATAAGACTAGGACACCAAGTATATACAAAACCAAATACTACTCCCTATTATAGAATCACATAAAAGTGCTTGCATTTCTATTTCCAATTAGAGTGTTACAGAACCATTCAGGTACAAAACAACTAACCAATTATCTGAAACAAAACCATAATTTCAGTTCAGCCAAACCACAAAAAAAAAATTTAGGCCTTTTCAAGAACCACCCAGAAACCTAGGAAAACAAACTAGGAAACCAACCACCAAAAGCGACACTAGAATCACATAAAAGATCTTCAATTCCCACATTCAGGCTGACTATTACCATATGTTATCTTGATCAACCAACTACAGCAACTAACCAATGATACCTTTCATATCAGAAGTTCAACATTAAGTTAAACTTAACAATGCATTTTCCCCTAAGAATTCAGTCAGATTATCTATTTCACTGTATCTAAGGTCATAACGTCAGCCAAACTTAAAGTTATCACGTCTTTAATTACTACAACTCTAACCATTTGATTTGGCCTTCAACTATGTCACTCTTCCTATCTGGTGAGCTTAGTGGTCTTATTTTTAGAAGCCCAAACCATACTAATCAGTTTTCTCTCATTTCATCTCCAACCATCTCACGAATGTTTTCATTTATAACATTTATCCTTCTCGTCTTGTTGGACACCCATATATTCATTTTGTGAACATGATTTTTTAACCACCCAATATTCTCTCCAATAAAGAATGGGTGGACTAATAGCCAGTCATTCGATATTCCAGAAATACTACTCCATTTAAAGATTCGACCTTAATAATATAATTAACATCACTTCCAAATCATCCTTCTTTGTCAATAATCAAATCAGAACAGAGAGAATGCTCACTTATCAATATTTACTCTCAATATTCACTACATTCCATTTTTATTATTAGATTTGCTAAAGTTGCCTTATAAAATCAGTTTTATTTCTACTTATCTTAAGTCCTTTTAATGTTAGATTTTTTCTCCAAACCTCTAATTTAGCACAGTTATTAATTAAAACAATATCAATGGCTTCAAACTCCAATTAAACAATCCAATTAAACAATCAGAATATCTAGTTCTCTTATGAAAAGCCCAGAAACCCTCTATGCAAAAATTAAATTAGGATGATGATCAAACAATAACAAATCTTTGGATCCTTTTGCACTTGTGTTCATTCAAATGCAATCCAGGATACTATAAATGTAGTACCCTTCCCTATCACAGAACCACATAAAAACACTTAAACTTATACTTCCAACCCAAGTGTTACAGAATTATAAATTCACAAAACAACTGACCAAATATCTGAAACAAAAAACAACTGTTTTGGTTTCAGCCGAACAATGACATCATTTTAGGATTTCTCAAGAACCAGCTAAGAACCTAGGAAAAACAACCTACAAAACCAAACAACGAGAGATAACCCACACTAAAAATCACAAAAATTCAATTACTGCCTTCAATCAAACTATTACCAAAGTTTATATTGACCAACAACTGCAGCAACTAAACATTGACAGTATCTCATATGAGAAGTTCAAAAATTCAATTGAATAACCCCAAGTTCAAAAATTCAATCATTAGGTTCTCTCATGAACCACCCAGAAACCCTAGCCATAAATCAAAATCAAGAAACCATGAACCCCGTACTGAAGAAGACTTCCGCATGAAAAATCACATAAATATGCTCCAATGATGTTTCAGTTCTACAATCTCCGAAAATTTGTAATGATTAACCATAACAAATTCTTCAATTTCGACCAAAATTTTCCCGCTTTTATGGGTTTGAATTGGTTTTTTTTTTTTTTTTTTTCCTCTGACTACCCAAAGCCCAAAACATAAAACCAAGTAATATAGTTGATTTTAACCTCGAGGAAATCAGGTTGGTGACCAGGGTTGTGCTGGGACTCGGGACGAATCTCTATATCGGCAGACTCGTCGACGATTTCTTGCATAGTGTTCTGTATGAACTCGTCGAACGAGTCGAGCTGTTGACGAACCAAACCCTTTTCTTCGAAGTAAGCACTGATAACGGTCCATGCGTCTTCTTGGGTTATCTCTTCCTCTTCGTCGTTGTACGATTGATCGTACTCTTCCTCCAAATCCATTGTTCAGATAGTCAAATTCAAACTCTCGCTGGAGAAGAAGAAGGATAGTTTAGAAGTTCGTGTCGTCGGAGGGGGGAGAGAGCCCTAGCTGGCGAACAGGACCAAGAATTTAGAAGTCCGTATGTCAGACAGAGAGAGTTCTGGATGTCACGAATGCCAGGACGGAAGCGTGGTTTTATAGGGGTAGAGGTTTTAGTAAGGCGGTGGACACTTGAAATATAAAATTAAAATAAATAATCGTTTTATTGTGGGTATATTTTGGGTAAAAATTCAAAATGGTAACGAAAATCTGTTTTACTTTTATAATTATAGTACCAAAATACAAAATATCACCAATTTGGTGATATAAATTTGGATCATAAAATTTGATATGGTATGAACTATTATGAATCAATATCAGTTTTTTAAAAATGATATGGGCCCAAATTTAAAAATTAATATAAAATTTAAAATATATATATATTATAACACATTCCCTCATAAAATTAGTGTCTTGAAAATGAAATCGTTCAAAATTCAACTTCAAAGTACCACCAAATCCATGAACACAAATTCTTTTTATGCTTAATTCTCAAAAAAATATATGAATCATTCTCTCAATAAATCCAAAGTTTTTATTTATTTTTTCCTTCCCAAAGCAGCATGGTAATGATATTAGATGATTGCAAATTTTATTTTCACAATAAATACTCAAATATTGTAAATCAATGCCAAATTTTAAACCCATAATAAATAAAAGTTACAACCAAAACTCCAATTTTGTTCATCCAAAAAATCTATTCCCGTCCCTACGTTTTTTACTTCTTTTTATTATTATTATTTTAATTTTATTAGTATATCTCTCCTTTTCATAATTTTAAAAATATTCATTATTTTAAATAATTTTATTTTTATTTATTATTTTTTTTTTTTTTGAGACGGAACTGGAGAAAAAGTTAAAATAAAAAATAGATTTAAAAGGCCAAGAACAAGACAAATGTATTTATTTGTCGGCAAAAATAATATATATAAGCGTATGCACATCCTCTTATATACGGTTCCATTTTTGGAACTCAAAACTGAGAAGTTGTTCTAACTTACTTCCATGGTCCATCCCAGGATTTTAGCTTAATTTTGGACAATGAGGAGTACTTTTAAAATTGTTAGCCCAATTCGAGGATAAACTTTAATTTCAAAATCATTTTAAACACAAATTTTTTATTTCTATTTTGTAAGGAACATTATGTAATTTTTACTATGAATTATTTGCAAATCCTTTTTGATTAGATGGAAATTGCAAGAAAAGAAAGGAAATGGAAAATTTCTGAACTATTTAAAAGTTTGGTTAGCAAAAAATGAAAATTTTGAGAAAAATTACTTTCTATAAACACCTAAAATCTGAGAAAAAAAATTACTTTTATAACCACCTAATTTTTCTACAAAAAAACATTTAAAAATTTTGATTTCTTAAGAAAGTTTAATGAACTTTTAATCCATAAAATGATAATTTTTCATCATTTTCTTGAAAAACTTTCATGCAGAAATTTTATTTTTCTTTCATTGGCGGGATTGGGGGAGTTTAAGGGGGCATTTGCAAATGCAGATAAGTGAAGGAAATTTTGTATTTTGAGCATAATCAAGATGATTCTCTACTTGAAAAGAATAGGGCAAATAAAGAAATGAAAAGAGGAAATTCCATAAGATAGGGAGATAGAAAGAGGGCTAATAATTCTGAGTTTAATCCTGTACAAAAGCTCTTAGCAGAGGCCTTCAGGCAAGCTTCAACAATCCTCAAAGAAACTACCAACATGTCAATAACCAACCCTGTAACAACACACCTACACTTGTAAAGATATAGGATCACAAGAAATGTTTGTAATATTTCCAGCATATAAGCTCAATGTTTACCCAATGATGCATTTCAGTTGAAAAAGCAATCAAAATATCAGGCAAATGGAATCACCCATTGCAACTATTCACCTGTAGCTACTGGCACTTTCTCATACGCATAACTCTCTCTGTATCTCTTGGGAAGAAAGCAGCGGCCGCCAAAACGCTGCTGAAAGTAAACAAGCACGGCACACAGCAAACCACCACAACATATAATGACATCCCATGCGGTGGAATAGTAATCCATTCTCGGGTTTGCATATATGTTATAGAGGTTCCAGGTGGAACTATGAGCCCTGTAGAGATCATATGCATGAGGCAAGAACCGAACAATGGTGGTTCCAATGTAGAAGGGAGCAGCAAGGGCCATCTCTTTGGAATCGCAGAATAGGTTGAACACTATCTGAGGGAGCAAATAACCATCCAAGACCAAACCAGCATAAGACTTGAGGTCACCCCAGAAAAACCGTTGCTGGTAGGTCTTGTGAGAATATTTCCACTGGTGCACAAAGAAAGCTATTAACCCGCCTGCAATGTACAATGGTAAAGACAAGTAAAGAACCTTTTTATCAGAAACCCACAGCTTTTTATGGCTTTCATCACCAACTCTTGCAGACCATGTCAATTGGAGAAGCCGAAACTGCAGCAGGAAAGCTATCATCGTTATGACCCTCACGAGGACTTCATTTACTTCCAGCCATCCACCACTATCAATGAAAACATTCTGTCGATTACGGTTTGCCAGAAACAAGGCTTCAAAGTTTAACAGTAGAGGAACCATATGCGCCAGTGTAAGAACGATGAGCATCACAACAGAGATGAAGGGGAGGATGTTTGGGTGCTTTTTCACATGAAATAGCTGCAGACCTACAAGAATACATGCAAGTGTGTTGGAAACTAAGACCATGGTGATCTCAAGATCCATTCTCCATATCGATTCACTGGCTTGCCTTGTGTAAATGGAATTTGATAACAACTCAAGGCGCTCAAAGTAAAGTGGATCTGCCTTACTTCGGGTGCTCTCAATGGTTCCCTTGACATGGCTTCCATCATTTGCATTCAATGGGGAGTACTGCAGATTAACAAGAATTTCACAGTCCAATGAATTCTCTTGCCGTAATGTCTTATTAAGTAATCTAACATGCCTACAACCTATCATGCAAAGGACTCCTGTTTTGACATCATATATCCCTTCAGCAGATATATCTACCGGCTTAGTTGAAGAAACATCACCTCCCAGCTTGAAATCATATGGAGGTGTGAAGCTCATCACATAGCTTATGTTTAGCACAGTTCCATGGCTGTTGTTAACTAGAACTGCAGACTCAGATAGACTTGAGAACCTTGCAAAGGGTCTATAAAACTCATCACCTACAGATAGTGGAGATGAATAACCAAATGCTCTCTGCCCTTTAGTATTTTTCACTGTCATATCGAATCTCATGTCAGATGAATACCCATCAGGGTATGTCCCTCTCTTGCCTTTACCCGTCATTTTATTCATACAAGATCTCCTTACACTGTCAGTCTCAGTATAGTCATATTTCAGACCTTCACGTTTTAAATTTCCATTGGCAGAGCTATGGAACACAAGTTTGCCAAAGTAACCCGAGTCATTTGTGCTTCCATTACTCCATATTTGCCCAACAATGGTACTCCTGTTTCTCAATGACAAGGTTGCAGGTAAACTCAAGGTCAACCTGATTGAGCAATCCCCAACTGAACCCTTAACCAAAGACTCCGTCAAATTGAATATCCGGCAAGCAACTAAGGCAAGTCGCTGCTTCTTTCTATCCCAAGCTCCCTCAGCAACCAATGTTAAATTTGGATTAAAACTAAAATATCTTACGTAGTTATAGCTCAAGTTCGAAAGGTCAAGCAAGTACCGAAATCTCCCATTATCAGAACACTCAATTTCATTGAAGGACACATACGCAGGTAAAATTCTAGCACTGCTGCCAAGAGGATTGCAATTTACAGTATCGCAATCACTAATGTAATTCAATTCGAATGAATTTAATCTACTAGCTGACCTGATCGCCCTACAAACATCACGCCCCGATTCAAAATTACGATTTAGATTCTCCACCTTATCATATGCACTAAAACCTCCATTCCCAATTTCTTTATCTATTAATGTGTATTGATAGTTCATCATTGACACACCCAATATTGAGATCGGTTCAAAATAGTTCGAACCGTCACTAGTATCCAAACTTTGTAATGTTCCATTAACCAAAGCAGTAGTAATAGTTGATGAATTCGGATAATTAAGCATGAGAACAACATTATGAGATGCTAAGTAATTCAAACCTGAACCAACCATACAAATCCGTCCCGATGCTGAGGACCAAAATCCGGATAGCATAAACTGCGCTTCGCTTCTCCGCACTGGAATTCTCGGCGGCCGGTAATGGACGAGACGCAGTTTCCGGTGCGTCGAATTCCCCAGAAGACCGAAAAATCTTGGACCACGAAGAGTCAGAGACGCTTCTAACTTGAAAATCCGATCTGCTTCCGTTCGATAGATGTTCCAGGTATGAAAAGATAGGGATTTCGGAGAATTGGGGATGGATTGGAGGTTTTGTTGACCTAGAATTCTGCCGCCGCCGGCGAAGTAGGCAGTGCGTATTTCGGGCTGTGCATAGTCGCCGAGTTTCACAGTCGGCGCCGACGCAGGAACGACGTGGTTGCAGTATTTGGCGTATGGGATTTGGGAAGATGGAGATGAAATTGAGGTTGCTGTGGAGAATTTGAGGATGAGGACGAGGAAGATGATGAGAGGAGTGAATTGGAATCGATGCAGACTTGGAATGTGCAGTGACGAAACCCTAACCTTAGATTTTTGCAACGGAGGTGAAGGTGAAGTAGGGTTGGCCTCCGTTGCGAATTCCATGTCTGAAATGAAGAGGGATGATCTACTACATATACTATATATATATATAGATATATATGTCTCTCTCTATGTATGTAAATACATTCATATACACATCTTGTAAACCTTTTCTCTAAGCCGAGTCTACTTCTGTCAGTTGTCAAATACTCCGTACGGAGTAAATTTTCCTGAGAAAATGTGAGAATATAATAATGTGAAGAAAAAGAGGAAAAACAGATATTATTATTATTATTGCTTTTATCATTGATTATTTGATTTAACCAATTCAGTTCAGTAGCCAAATACCTTCATATGATTAATATAAAATACCAATTTTACTTATGTAGATATTAAATCATTCAAGGGTAAATTACACTACTTTATATTATATATGATTTTGAGTGTGAAAAGTCAATAATATTCTTATATTATAATGATAATATATTATATTGTAAATATTTGCTAATCTAAAAATTCATGTGTAATTTATTCAAACTTCATAAGAAATAAGCATAATTTACCCTAGAATGGAATGGAATGGAATGTTTATTTCAACCATTTATTTGTTTGATGACATTTATGTTTCGTTTGGTAGGATAGAAGAAATTTGGATAGAAAGAAGAGAAGATTATGTACTTTTCTCTTTTTGTTTGGTTGGATGGAAGAGAATAAAATGAGATAATAGTGATAATACTTTATTTTGTTTGTTATGAGTGAAGGGAAGCGAAATATTAATTATAAGAAAATTTTTGTAATTTAAAAACATTTATAATAGCATTGTTTTCTTTTTTTTGTATCTCCCGTCCAAATTTGGTGGGAAGAAAATTTGTTAAGGAGGAAGGATGACTCATTCATCATTTTTTCTCTTCTCTCATTGCGTCCTCATCATTTTTTCTCTTCTCTCATTGCGTCCTCTTTACTGGGCGAATATATTTTTTTTCTTCTTTCCTTCACCCTTCTTCCTTTTTTCCTACCAATGAATGACAAATCATTCAATATCTAAAACCTATAGAATGGTCATTCCATTCCCAAATATTATTTTTTTAAGGAAAAATGAAAAAAATTCTAAAAAAACTAGCCTAGTGGTAAATTTTCACATTCGCCGTCACCACTATTACTATTTAGAATGGTTATTATCATTTCATTCCCATTCCATTTCATTCTTGTCTACCAAACTAAGGAATTAGCCCTTAGATCATTCGAGGATAAATTACATTAATATCTATGAGGTTTAAACAAATTACACACGGAAAATCGTGTAGTGTTTATTACTTTTAAAAGAACTATAAAATACATTTATATGAAAACAAATATATTTTTTTATTGACTTTTCACACAACAGTTTCCAAAAATTGTCAACCAAACATTTTTTTTTTTTACAACTTTTTGATTTTCAATTCTTAAAAAATATAAAACTATTAAGAGAAGAAAACTGAACCAAGAAATCTCTTAGTTACTTTAAAAAGTATCACCAAATCCATAAATACATATGTGCATGCATGCATGTGTATTGCAATGAAAGAAACATTAAAATCAATGTACTTAGGTAAAAACAGGTCTCTGAATAGAGAGAAAGAGAGAGAGAAAAAAAAAAAAAAAAAATGAAAAAAAGAAAGATTGAAATCAATGCATGATTTTATTGTTTTGGATTCTAAGCAAGGAAAAAGAACTCAAATATTGCACACACAATACTAAGGCCCTGTTTGACAACCACTGTTGCTTTGTGCTTATACTTTGACCCGAAACAGAAGCAATGTTTTTGCTTTTAGAGTGTGTTCAATACTATTTAAAAGCTTATTTGGTAACGTAAATTTGTTATAAGATTTTTAGAAAAAAAAAAAAAAACATGAAAGCATGTTTGGTAAAAAGTGTTGCAAGTTTGAAAATTTGAATGGTTAGTTAAAAAATGTTATTTTAGATTTTATTTATTTATTTATTTATTATTATTATTATTTTTATTTTTTAACGGTGCTTTGCTACAGTGCAAAAACAAACAAAAACATCATTTTAATGCTTCTGATTTTGGCCTCAATTTTGGAAGCGCTTCGGTACTATTTAAAAGCACATCAAATATTACCAAATATGTTTCGTGTTTTTACTTCGCTGCCGTACACTAACAAAAGCAAAAAACACGAAGCAAAAGCATTAGCCAAAACAGGCCTCAAGTGTTTTGTGAATGCTGCAATGGTTTTTGTATCAAATTGACATTCTTCTCAACAACGAGTCAATGTGGAATATAAACCCTTACTCCAATTGATAGGACTGAGCTTATAATAGTCATTTCATAATGATCCTTGCTGAATCTTGTAAGTATTTATCATTAGAGGCTTGTCTTTTGATTAAGGACCACAACATATTGCCTTAGCAGCTGATCATTTGAATGTTGTCATACACCTAATGACTGCCAATGAAAGGTAAAAAGGACTATATGCCTTCAGACAAGCCCTTTAAATATTATTATGCATATTAACACCTGATCAAGATGGGGAAATCAGATTTATTTATTTATTTAATTAATTATTTTTAATAGAATCTGTTCAAATGATGTGGCCAAAAGTTATCCCATCTTTGCTAATATAGAAATAAGTTGGAAAATGAAGTGGAAATTGTTTCCATGCCCTCTGTTTAGAGATAAAAATATGCATCACAATCATCTGTTATATAAGCTGTTAGCTTGCAATGCTTTTTCCATATAATTAGATTTTTTTTTTTTTTTTTACATAGAAAAAGCTTAAAACAAAATTAATACTATTTAAAAAGAAATTAAGACACTGCAGATTTGTTCATACTATTTTTTCACTCAAAAGTATAACCTAGGACGTATCAAACAAGCCAATCCAACTGCTCTTCTTGATATTAAGAATTCTAAAAACTATTATATGATACATACAGAGCAACATTTCCCATCAAGTGTTCAGTTTTTCTTCCAAATATACACACACACACATAACAACCATAACAAAGGAAAAAACACAACCAATTTTTTTTTTTTTACAAACCACAGCTTATTAAACACATGCGATAATCATCTCGATCAGTTATTCATCTTACATACCTCCACTGCAGCACATTCAGATTCCCGGTTCAATAAATTGGCTGCAATCAATACCCTTGTCAGAAAATGCTTCCACAAGCCTAGGGAAGAGCTTAGCAAGAATGATCTTGAACCCTGTCGAGCTTCCCAGTTGATTTTCTTGCTCGGTTTTTTTGCATCCAAAAGCGCAACCTACTGGAGCACCTTCCATGTATGCCTTACAGGCCAAAAGAATATATTTGGAACGTCGGCTAAAGTGCTCCTCCACAAGTGCCTCAAAATGCTGCACCATTGCAAAGACAAACTCAATACAAAAAAAATAAAAAATAAAAAATCAATATAGTTTTTATTTATTCTATGTCAAAAAGCAATCAATTCAAGGATTTTAGTTTCTGTCATTTATGTGGACGGCAGGGCATTCCCCATGTCAAAAATCATAGTGGTCCTCAGATTCTAAATTTTCTTTTGTTAATTCTAAATTGTTAATATATATATATATATATATATATATATATATATATTTCAGAATATATTACTCAACATTCATGAACAGTTCTTCAAATTGTAAAAGTGAAACATGCTGGCTGCTATTTTTTCAGACAGTACTTTAGTAATGGTCTAGAGGTAATTACCAATTAAAGCAATTACAATTGCCATTTTTTAAATTTATTGCAATAGTAGAGAAAACTGCTATTATAGAAAAATTATTGTACCTTGGGTGGATTGTGTAGTAGGTATAGTATTGATTTGCAGCTAACAAGGAATGCATTTTCATTGTAGCTCACTGAGTTTCTCTCTCCTTCAGCTCTTCCCATAAGCCCATCATATCCAGCTTCATTGAAATAAGGCTTTTCATTAAGCACAAGGGCCTGTAATGAGAGAAGAACTTGGAGAATAGTGGAGCTTTCGGGATTCCATACTTCAGAAGACGTGCCTGTCCATGTATTGAGAAGACTGAGACAGACCTTTCCAGACTCATACAAGTTAGGGTTGATTCGGAGTCCTCCAGAATTGTAGTGCACCAACTGCATAAAGTTTGACGCCCACAAAAAGTGAGTGAGCTTTTGATCATATATAATGTGGATGTAATATATCGACAAAAGATTATATATATATATATGGACTGCTACGTATACACCCTTTTTTGTACACTATTTTGTTTTATAAATTACATATTAGAAATTTTTTGGAATAAAATAGGATTTGGAATTGACGGCATTGACTTTGAATTATCAAGGAGAGGTTGTCCAAATTTATTCAAGCATCAAGTCAATGACTAAGAACCAGAACACAAAACTAAATAACTTACAGGTGGCTCATGAGGATACTCTGGAGGCAGAATAATATCAAAAAAGAAAAGTCCGTCATGGTATGGAGTTCCAGATGCTCCTATGATGGCTGCCCGCAACAAATCCATCCTCTCCTCGTAGAGACGGACATAAATTGTTTCTGCTCAGGTTACAAAATAGGCCCTATTAGCAATAGCTTAGAAATTTTGGAGTGTCACGATCCACTAAATAATAGTTGCTTGTTCCACTAACAAAAAATATTAACATTTCATATACAGAATTGGTCATAGAGTGGTCGTTTTGACATCAGCTGCTTCATATATTGCAACTATTTCTGTACCTTCAGCTTTTGCTCATCAAAACCACACGAGAGTCCCCTTTTCAGCCTTGCATTTTCTATTGCAAAATAAATCTTGTTTATTTTTTTCAATAAGTATTTAAAATTTATTTCCTTAAGCTTGATAGATATTGATGAGTCTGATGAATATTCCATTAGTGAGGCTGATACAGGTTGGTTTAAGAGGGGTCTTCTGGAGGAGGAAGTTTTTGAGAATCTAACAAAATATGATTCTGATCCACCAAAGAATATAGAGGGGAAAAAGGATCTTGCAAGGTGAGTGTGCGTGGGACAAAATGTAGCACCATATTGTGCATGCGTTTCTAGGAAGGTCCTCTTATTAAGTCACTCTCTTCCTTCCTCGGTAGCAATGATGGAGAACATCATGACTCGAAATTCAAAAGTGGCACTATCACATATTTGTCTTGGACACAAGCATGTAAGTGTAGGTTTGAGGTAAGGCAATAGGCTCAGATTTGAGTTAAATTGTGTGTGAGAGAGATTGTTGGGGTTGACCAAATTATCTCATAGATTGGTCAATCATGTTGGAATGCCAGCACAAGCTGTTCTTGGTTCATATGTTATCTTTATATTTCTCTTCTTTCCTTGACTACACACTAGCACATGGTCCTTGGATATTTCACATTCTATTTCTGATATGATACATGAAACAACAATTACTTCAATCACAATCCACTGATGTAATTCATTAATCAAACTCATTCAAATTCTTTCTCATATTCAATAGGTTGTTGTCTAATGAAAGATCAAAGATTTCATAGGACAAAGCATCGGAGCAGTAAACAGCATAAGACTAAGTACTTACCAGGAAGATCTTTCTCCAGGATGCTCCATTCTTGCCGAACCTTCTTCAACCAACTTCTTTTCACCTATAAAAGAAAAAAGAGGAACAAATGGGTTTTTAATCTGTTCACGTGTTAACTGGTATTTTAAGGGAATACGAAGTAATGTTCGAACCTGAGACAACGTTAATCCCTTGCCAGCACCATCAACAAAATAGTGGTCGTAGCAACCGCTAACCATATCAAACTGCCTAAACTCTTCTATGTTCTTGTTGCCTGATGAAAATGAAAAGGCTTCATTTTCTGGGATAACTTTGAATTCCAGCTCCCTTTTAGTTTCTCCAAGCGTATGCAAGTCACCTACTATAGTTGGTGGTTCCTCAGTGCACAAATTGCAAGATTCCAGACATTTCTCATTGATAGTCACATCATGTGCATCTTCTGAAATAGGGCCAGATGTACCTGGCAGTGATTTGGAAACCAGATAACTGAAGAGGCTTGTCGTAATACTTGTGAAAAACCCAACAGCAGCTCGAGGAAGTGAATATGAACTAAAGTCCAACAATCCCTGAACATACAAGCAGGCAATTCTTTTAATCATCCCAGGGCAATTGACACAAGCATTTAAGAAGAATATTGAATTTCTATGAAGTCCCAAACTGAGAGATCATAACCCAATTCAGTAATTCCATTACCCTCCGTTAGCTTATAGCAAATTGGCAGTTTTAGTTGTCATCATAAGAAAAACATATTCTGTTTCTCAATTTCTATGAAGTTTCAACAGTCACATTGAGAACTAGAAAACTGATGTTCACTCCCTCAACAAGATATTCCTAAGTTCAATTACTGAAAAAAAGAAAGATATTCCTAAGTTCTATACAATCTTTTTATTAAAGGGATGAATCACTTTTGTGAAGTTCAAAATCACAAATGTAAATTTAATATTCCCTTTTGCACTGCCTGTCTCCAGTCCTGAACTTTTCTTTTCCTGATTTCATCCCCAATTCTTGCGAGACGTTACCATGCAATGACTTATCAATATTTTCAATTTTAACTACCTATATGATTCCCAAATCACAAGTATTTACCACCATACAAATCCCAAAACAAAAAGGCTTCACCATGAACAGTTAAAATAGAGGGGTGTGTTTGTCAATTTTGTGTACACACAAGATGGAGACAATAGGCGTCACCTTTCCTTTCTGGTGCAAAGAATGTTTATTATGCTCAGACTCTTGATTCCATTGCTCAACGTATCCATCATTCAGCACTCGAGCGGCAGATGAACTTTCAAATTTATCCAATTGAATGATTTCATAAGGTGCAACCTGGAATGATATTGAAGTGTTAAATAATAGGTCCCTAAATGCACAGTAACTCATGAAACAAATTCCAGTGCTACTTGAAAGCATAATGGACTCCATAACTCTTCAGCGCTACATAAAAATAAATGTATGGTAAATCGTCAAACAAATTTCTTAAGCATCTGGGATTGGTAGATCTCATTGTACTCTAAACTAGTTAGGGAAGCTACAACTGTACTTCTATCATAATGTTCTTTTAAATGAACCTAACATTCAGTAAGAAACTCTTTCCCTTTCCCTTCCCCGTCCCCATCCCATCTGCTCTGCACCAATATAATAATTTTTAAGGAAATATTGAAAGAGGAGGGACTCTAGTAAGTATACCCAAACAAGCCATGAGCAGCAAATAAACATAGGATCATTAAACATCAATGAAAATGCAAAAGTTTTACGATGTCGCATTATAATCAGAAAATATCTGGCACATTGGCATATCTTTTCTGGTTCAATGGCTGTTTTAGGCAGCACACAATCTAGGGTTTCAGTTTTCTGATCAGATGGAGTCATTAACCGGCCAAAACAACTATCCATTATTTCATTTCATGATTTCAGTATTATCATTCACTAAAATAAAGAATAAAGTTATATGTGTGATAAGCTTTATGATAAAAAATCCAAACAAATTGTATAATCCATATTTAACCAGAAAATTGAATGTTCAAGCAGTTATAGTGTAGTTGTTCACTAATTCAAGAATTCAAAGGCTCATCAGTAATCAATGGATAAGAAAATATAATAATTTTAATATTAAAAGGATAAATCAGGAAGTATAAAAAAAATTGTACTTTTGCAGAATAATATTGCATCTCATTGCTTGACTTGGTAAAAGCTCAAGCACACAATTTGGGTAATGCAAAAGATTAAGTCCATCTCTAGTATTCCCTTCCAGCACCCCACCTAGGTAGAACAAACATTGAGTAATCCAATTGTGCACTTGTTGAATAATCTCACCAAAGTGGGAGTTATTGGTCCGACCAAAAGTTAATAGCTTATTGTCCTTAGGAGGGAAAATTAGGAGTAATATCTTGAATCTGCCTACAAGAAGAAAGATCTACAAAACTTCACGTGCAACTAGAAATGAAGAAATAAATTGACTAACACCAGACTACACTTGTAGAACTCATCAGAAAGGCCAACAACTTGGATAACTATTACCATACCCCACAAAGATAGTGCAGTAATTAATCATTTTCAACTGAACAAAAAGAATTCGTACCTTGGTCGTAAGGCCAGTAGCCCATTTCACTTCAACTTCCCCATCTTTTAAGCCCATAACAATGCCAATACATGATAGGCAACTATTATTGGGGGACTCATTTTGATCTCCACCACAGTTCTTACCCTTAAAAGCAGCCTCCTCAACCATTTCCATTTTTGTGAAGACATGGCTTTTGTAAAAATTTTCGTCAAGATGATCAACTAACTGGCTCGTTTCCAATCGAAACACAATATCACCAAAACAATATGAATAGTCAGGGTGCTCAATCAATTCATAAGCACTCACAGTTTCCTCCACATGCTTTTCCTCAAAATCAGAGAGTCGATCTACTTCAAAAGCTTCCCACTTGACCTTCACAGTTTTTTCCTTTGAATCAACACTCCTCACGACACCCCATCTTCCATTACTTGGAACATGTGGATCATCACAACTGCCCTTTTCTAGTACAAATTGTTCAGGCCAAAAGTCATGAGCATCAACAACATTTATGGGGAACAAACTATGTGAATCTAAACCGAATGAAAGGCTGCCATCCTGCCACAAAACATCAACTTTGGTCTTTGTCTTCACAGTAACAAAGATTTCCTGAAAATTCGGATTGAAGTTTTCTCTCTGAAATTCTTTTTCTGATTGTTTATGCTCTTTAACAGGCTCACAAGTTGATGCATTAAAAGAAGTCTTCTCCATAACACCATTATGATCTGCAAATGGAAGTATGCACCAATCACCAAGCTGCCAATTTCCGTGTGGAAAACATGACAAGTATGTTAGGCTTTTTGAATCTTGTAAACATGAGGGAGCAGGCACCCTTTCACAACCGAACAGGACAAAGCCAAGCCAATCAACACATACCAACCCTGCTTTGACAGAACAAACAGTTCCTTCATCTTGTTTTGCCTTCCATGTCCCACGTAACCATCTAGCAGATTTGGAAACAGATGGGAGTTCAACCCGCACTCGCTGTCCTGGATAATAAGAGTACTGCGAATCTTCAAGTAAGTCAGGAGAAATAGGAAGGACCTTCTCTGGACCCATCATGGTGAATTCACACTCTGAACCATCATCAAACAGGATGGTGATGCAGTCTACTATTTTATCCACTTTCCCAAGCCAGGGTCCATGCACTACATAATCCCCCACTGAAATGGAATGATACCTTTTAAGTTCTTTTGAATTCACATTTTTTATCCTTTTTCCATGAGCATTTTCCAAGTCCAAAAACATTTCAACATTGATCACTCTTCCCATCTGTCCGGATGGGTCTTTTATGGAGCACACGATGTCCCCGTGTACAAACCCCCTCTCAAACAAGAGGAAATCATCAATCTTTCTGATGCTTTCCTCAAGGCTTGACAAAATGCTATTGGCCTGCCCACCATACAAATTTTCAGTGTCATCCTGATCCTCAATGCTACCCCTCTCGCTGGAACTGTCAAAGTCACTCAAGAGAAAATCCATCATTTTGAGGCCTGTCAAAACATATGTGCAATTTGATTAAATATTTACAAAAAAATAATAATAATAAACAAATGAATAATAAAGGTGGAGACATTGGAGTGTTTGAGCAAGTAGTTAATTTTGGAAAGATTTCTCACCTGTGTCACATTAACAGAAGAAACCAGATTATGTTTCTTCTGAAGTGACCCACACTTTAACCCTTGATAATCTCTGACAAGTGCAAAATAATTTACTTGGAAGGAGTAGCCTAAAAGAAGAGAATATATACCGGGATCTGGGTAGAGAAACATGTATGAGTAGCCATAGAAATTTTCGTGAGAAGAATAGTGTGAACGGTAAAACACAGTTCAACATTAAATTGACCATATTCAGCTACACATGATGTATTTTAGAAAACATTGACTAAAAAACAATGCCACAAAGAAATATTAATATTGAAACGGGATAGAGAATTACCACCAGATATGCTCGTCGCCTGATGATTTAGAACATTCAACACCTCTGCGAGTCCAAATTTTATCTCGATATGGGTAATCAGCAAGTCGTCTCGGATATGAAAGGATGAGATAAGATTAAAATTCACTGTAATACTTCAACAACAAATTTATATTTTCTAGGTCAATCTGATCTTGTGATACAGAGACCAAGATAGTATCTCCAAAAAAATTGGAGAATAATGCCAAAGGAGATTTGCCCAAAAGCGATAAAGGGAGTCTACTAAAGACTCCCAAATGCCAAAGGAGATTTGCCCAAGGAATGGACTGAAGCTTCCACTAGAAGGAACTGCCAAAGGAGATTTGCCCAAGGAATGGACTGAAGTTTCCACTAGGAAGAACTGCCGAAAGAGATTTTTCCAACCCGGTTGATTGAAAGTTTCAAAAGAAAGAAAGTTAATGCCAGAGGAGATCTGCCCAGTAGCCAGGTTATCGTTCGAGGCCAAATTGATAAGATGATGATTTTCCAACCCAATTATGAAACCTCCGCAAGTATAACTGTCAAAAGAGCCCTACCCAGCTAGAGGAAACTTCTGAAATTTTTGCCAAAGGAGATTTGCCCCAACGGAACCGAATCTTTGAATCTTAAATATAAATATTGCCAAATGGTCCGAAAGATTTTTTATTTCTTTCAGAAGCCAATTTTATATTGCCAAAGGAGATTTGCCCCTGAATGAAGCCAAACTTTCAGTCAGTTCTGTCCACTGCCCAAGGAGATAGATTCGCCTCGCATAAAATTCGATTGACCAACATAAATCCTGGATTAAGAAAAGAGAGATTCAAGCCACCCAAAGCAAAGAGTGAATCAGAAAAACATATCTTGCACCAGAACCCAAAGTTAACTATCTCAAGAATGACCTCAACTGCCAAAAGTAAAAAAACTTCTAGTAACCAGTTTAGATTTCCATGGAACCTATAACAACTGTAACTATTTTTTTTTTGATAAGTCTGTAACAATTGTAACAATTAAAGTTCTTAAAAGAGAAAGATCATGTGATTCAACTTCGATTACTCAATTGCTCTTCACTGTAAGGTTTTTAAACAAAAGTACGGAAATGGGTATCCAAGTAAATGAAAAGAATAGCATCTTGCAGATGTGTTTGAGAAACAATCAGAAAAAGAACAATAAACTAAGAAAAACAATGTCAACTTGCATTGTTTTGATCTCGCTGCCTTCATACAGTACATTCCAAATAAAACCAGAAATTTCTTGCAACTGTCCACCAATGATTAACATGAACTTTAATTTATAGGGTTATATTTTGATCAAGTAGCAATAGTATAAGTAACAAATTTTAAAGATCTCCCCTACTTCAATACCAATTTTCAAACTTGGGAGGAGAACAAAAAAATTCATGAGAGAGTTAAGAAAACAATCATTTTCTTGCAAAGCACAAAAACTAAGAAAAACAATGTGAAGTTATATCATTTTAATCTCGCTGCCTTCATACAGTTCATTCCAATTTAACCAGAAATTTCTTGTAACTGTTTACCAATAATTAACATCAACCTTTTTTTATAGGGTTATATTTTGATCAAGTAGCAATAGTAAAAGCAATAAATTAAAAAGATCTCTTCTACTTCAATTCCATATCTCAAACTTGGGAGGGAACATAGATTTCATGGTTCAGAACACAAGATTCAAATTTGGTTCCTAGTTTTTCGGCAACAAAGATTGACAATTCGTCACCAAAATGGCGGTTCATGAATTTTTCCAATATAAACCTAAATCCCAAACAGTACACTTTTTCAAAAACTTCAAAGAAAGTGAATGCATAACATCATACGCTAAATATGCAGGGCTAGAGATGTTCAGTTTTCCATAAAAACTCAATAGACAGTTGAAATGAAAGTAATACTCTAAATTGCAACAAACAGATGTTGTAACTGCCCATTATTGATTAACATGAACTATTTTTATAGGGTTTTATTTTGATTGAGTAGCAATCAAAAAAGCAAAATTTTAAAAGATCTCTTCTACTTCAATTCCATATGTTAATCTTCGGAGGAAAACATAAATTTCATGAGAGACAGTGTTCAGAACACAACCATTTTCCTCACAAGATTCAAACTTGGTTCCTAGTTTGTCATCAAGAAAGATTAAGAACCCGTCACCAAAATGGTCATTCATGATTTTTTCTACTACAAACCTAAATCCCCAACAGTGCCCTTCTTCAACAAAAGGTTCAATTTTCCATAAAAACTTAATAGACAGTTGAAATGATTGACATAAAAACTCAACTCCGTATGTTAAACATTGGAGGAGAACATAAATTTCATGAGAAAGAGTTCAGAACACAATCATTTTCCACAAAAGATTCAAACTTGGTTCCTAGTATGTCGTCAAGAAAGATTGGCAATATGTCACCAAAATGGTCATTCATTAATTTTTCTAATACAAACCTAATTTCCAAACAGTGCACTTTTCCAATTTTCAATAAAAAAAAATCGACAGCTGAAATAAAAGTAATACTATTAATTGCAACAAACACATGTTAGGAAGTAAGAACAACAAAATGAACACAACACATTCTTGGACAACAATATCTAACAGTTTCATAAAATCGTAAGATAACATAAAATTAAATTCTTCATTTGCCAATAATCAACATTTCAAAAAAGACTGAAAAGGTTGAAATTGCAGGGTAGAGAACTGAACCAATACCATATCTGGATACAGTTGCCACCAAATTAAGTGTTGTCAAGGAGACCAAACATCCCAAAAGAGGACGTTTAGTGTTTGCTCTTATTTTCCTTCACTTTCTGGCACTTTCTTTCTTGTTTGTTCTTTCCAGAGATAATTATTGAGAGCCCAAGAGAAGGAAAGGTTATGGAATCAGAGAGGCAGGGTTCCTCTCTGAATCCATTCCTTCAAGCCATAACCCAACCTCGCAAACATGAAAGAGCTACTGCAAGAGACACCTCTCCTTTCTCTCTCTTAAACGTTGGAGCTTTTCATTTCACATCCAATTAGATAATATCTATACTCTCTACAAACATATCATTTTCACTAGTCGTATATTTATACATACACAATCAAGTACATGTAAACAGTTGGTGTCCAAATCTCCAACATAGCCTTGCTGTTGCATCTTAAAAATACTCTTTTATATATATATATATATATATATATTGCTTTTAAGTTTTACTTTTGAAAAAAAGCACATGCTCGCTCATGTTTGTTTATTGGGTGCACGAGGTGTACGATATATCGATTCATCCGAGTAATACATGAACAACGCGTATGGCTAAAATCATTCCAATGTGTCTTATCCTTAATCATAATATAATTAAAGTAGAGAAATTATAGGTTGCGACCGTAACGCCACGTCACATGGTTAGCGTGGTATCACACAATCAATAAATACAAGCATGTATTCATTTGCAATCAATAATCAAATAGACGAGGAGAGTTATGGATGCTTATCTAACATCAGATCTAGATGGAGAGAATCTTGAAAGTATAAAGTTGAGTATTAAAAATATATCTAATAACTTAAATTTTTAAATCAAAATTGTTTTAGGCCTCAGATTACATCAAATCGGCACTTATATAAAAACTTATAACTTTAATAATATCAATTCTATTTAGAGTATTTTGTGTAGAAATTACCCTTATGGCTTTGAATTTTTTGCCATTAAATTACCATAAAAATATTAGAATTTTTTGTTCGAAAAAATTGGTATAAGTTTCTTTATACTTTTAATGAAAAGAATAATTATTTAATAATTACAATTTGTAAAAATTGACAAAATATTTATATTTTTGTTTCCTAGCACACTAGGGGGAATGAGAACTCAAACATGGGCACACCCGCTGGGTGCTCTATCAACTAATTTACTAGGTAATGCTTAAAAAAATATTTCTAATTGCTAATAATCAAATTATATATATATAGTTAGACACCCAATATTTTTACCAATTAAAACTTTAAAATTATAATTACAAAATTGTAGTTTTAATTAAGAAAAGGGTAAGCAGATTTAGAATTTTAAAACTACTATAGGGTAAATTTTAATAGTCTTTAAGAAATTTGATTGGACTTAATTTTTGGTTTTTCGAAAGAAAAAGTAGGAGTTACTTGTAATTTTGTCAAACAAAATTATTAGCACTTTTGCTTCTGAACTTCTAATATATTTGTTCATTTCTCTTAAGAAAAAATAAATAGACAATATTTTTTGAAAAAAAAATAAAAAAAGAACTTGATCGTCATTCATCATCATTTTTTGACATGAATGTTTGAAAAACCATACTTGTAGAAACCATATTGGTACTCCACTGAAGTGGGAAGGGAATTGGAACAAAAAAATTGATGATTATTCATTAAACCACTAAGCTTATATATATATATACACACACACACACATATATATTATTACTTTCTAAATACAACAAATACATTATAGGGAAGATGACACATGACATGAAAGTTCAGTCAATGTTCTCAACAACATGATTAACTCACAGTTGCTATTAGACCAAAAATTGAAGAGAATTTACTTGTGAGATGGGTCAATGCAAAAGTGGAACTTCCAATAATGCTTTTCACATGTTAATTATTGTGTCAAAACTCAAAACCAATTCAAAATTTATTTTAGTGAAAGATCAATTGAAAACACACACACACAAAAGTAGAATCAGGTAGATGTCCCAATAAAGATATATTCACCACATATTCCAATTTATATTTAATTTTAAATATGATGGAAGAGACACAAAAGCATTGCCATGTATTATAAACTCTAAAAATCCAATATGTGAAAGATAATTCTTTGTGCAAATTATCATTTTTCTTATTTGGACAAAAGAAGCATATGCCAATTCAATAGTAACCCAAGTCTAAATAATTGTGTCATACATGAACTAAAACCTCCTCATTTTAGCCTGTCATAGAAATCGAAACTTGTTGAACTCTTTAATTTTTGTTCCAATCCATTTAAAAATAGAAATTACAAAGTGAAAATCTAAACTCGAACACCACAATCACTAGCACGTGTGAAACAATAATATGTGTAAGTAATTTTGGCATTTGTTGTAATACAATACCCGTGCTGAATTGCAGAGGATCCAAACTCTCCTAAAGACATAAAGGAAGACAGATGAAACTCAACGCATGCCTTATGAATAGTCAAAGATTCTAAGCTCCATGGCAAATATAGCTCTCCTGCATAAATATTTCATGCCAGAGTCACTAGCCCAATCAAATTGCCTCGGAGAATCAAAACAAATCTAAGCAAAATACTCCACTTTTTTGCTCTCAATGAGACAAAAAGATGGCAAAGAAAGCACTTACAATGAACCCTAAAGAAAAATGTTTGCAGGTAAAAAGGCACATTGTAAAGGGAAAGAGTATAGAGAATAATGCTTACTACCTACCTATACATATATAGCATTTATCAATCAATGATTATTTTGTTTTTTTGATGACTTTGCAAGCTGACTACTTATCCATGGTCCTACTACAAAATTTTCTTTACTTTGATCTAGATTAGCAATCTTAATACACATAGTTAATACAATCCTCTTCTTTATTATATACACAGTATTTTTTTTTTTCCCTTCCCGTTTGGGCAAGTTGCTCACATATTCACTTTGACCACTAAGAAAACTTTCGTGTTCAACTCCCCATCTTCATTTCGGAAGACAGAAATAATACCGTTAAATTGTTATCTTGGATGCCTGCGTACTTCCCAACCTCATTCCCCGACCATGATATTTTTTTTTTTTTCTTTTTCTAGACAAAGAAATCTTGACCATGAATTAAACATAAAATAGAAGCACTATGGAGTCGGAAAGACAAAAATACTACAATTTTTTTTGTAATGAAATGACTTGTTCCTAACTATACATCATTATCCACTTGATCAATAAACTAAGTTTAAAAGACTATCTTTTCATTTGTTAATTCTTTTTGGGTGGATTACAATATTCCATTTATCTTTTGTGATTGCCAAAAGATTACAATAATCCATTTATCTTTTGTGATTGCCAATCATGTTAGGCCATTGTCCCCACAAAATAAACTTCCTTTTAGGTTCTGTTTGGATCCAATAAATCCTAAACTTTAATGCATTATGTCTATTGTTGACCAAACTCTTTTGTACTTCTCTCTGTAACACTATTCCCTTTTCCTTTCTCTCTTGCAAGGCAGTGACAATGAAATGTCAATTCTCAATGTTAGATACAAATCACATATTTTATTCAAGCCATAGTCTCTCGCTAAATTTACATGAGTGCCATCTTTTTGTACAGTTGTTTTGCTTTGGTAAAGCTTTAGAAGCATCATATAGTACAACTTACAAATAGAGCAATGCCAAGCCTAATTGGTTCTTCTCAAACCCCACTAATTTAGTAACTTAGCTTGAAAATTTGCGTTCTTCAAGGACTAAGGGTTGTACTGTAGTAATATTTTTTGACCTTTCGAATTTGATGGTCTAGGATTCAAGTTTCAATTCGGGCGAAATATGTGTGTAAGTGTATTTCATGTCAATATATATATATATATATATAAGATCATTCTCTTTATAACTAATATGTCATAATATAATTGAACAACGATAAAATGAATTAATTGTTATTATTTACGAAAAAAACATACTAAACTAATAAGACAAAACACGTAAAGAGACGAGTATCGTTCAAAATTAAAGTAGCTCAAAATAGTTTAGACTTATTAACCAAATTGAAAAAGCTCACAAGCAGGCTAGTAGCTATCTTAATTCAGTAGTTGCATCAACATCACAAGTTTGAGCTTAGCTTGTTTACACTCATTAACCAAACAGAAAAAGCTCAATAGTAGGTCAGTAGCTATCTTAATTGACTAGTTGCATCAACATCACAAACATGTTGCAGCTCTCTCTCTCACTCTCTCTCTCTCTCTCACACACACACACACACATGTATATCAGCTTGACTTTTGAACATGGTGGATTTCATGCATCAAACCGGCTTACACCATAGGCCATTTTTTAAAAGTTAATTCTATTATACTAACAACCACATCACCGAAAGGAATGTTGTACTTCATCAAAATTACAAGTATGGTTATGATAGTGAACAATGTGAACACTTGTCGTTCACAGCCTCATCCCTCTGCAACCCATTATGGCCATTTTCCTCTCCTCAATTTTGTGAAGTTACTAATTTTTGTTAATGGGGCATTTGCTCAATAGTATAATCTATCTTCTTTTGAGGATGCAGAAATTCCATCCTCATCGTGGGCAATATGTGACATGTACGTAAATATTCATCCAACTTCAAAATAAGAATAAAAACTAAACGCGTGCTAAGTATATCAGTTCACTCATCCTTTATATTAAGCTAAGGTCTTTTTATTATTATTATTAGTTGGGACTCACGCCCCCTTTCAAGGAATGATTTGTATCTAAGAGGAATCGAATCTTAAACCCTGATACTTCGTAAGACACAAAATCACGCGACTTATCGACTTGAGCTAATCCCTGAGGATTAAGCTAAATCCTTTTAGTCTTATCCCAAATAACATGTACATGAAGTGTTTGAATTGCTCTCCTTACATAAATTACAATCCTCGTTTTTCAATCAATATTGCATTACTCTTAAGTGGTGCGAACTCTTCTCTTTTAGAAAGGAGGCTCAGAGGAGCAATATTTGTGATTACACATATTTGTTTGAACTTTTAAATATATATATATATATACGGTTGAGCCACTCTTAAGGGTATTCTCTATTTCAAACCCCACCAACCCCCTATATATTATATATTTTTTGTGTGTGTGTGTGACCAACACCCCCCCCCCCCCCCCCCCCTATATATTATATATATTTGTGTGTGTGTGTGTGTGTTGGGGGAAGGGGGGTGGGGTTTGAAATAGAGAATACCCTTAAGAGTGGCTCAACCGTTGAATGTGTCGCAAGAAAAAGTAGGAGCAAATTTGGTGGAAGCAAGGATCACACTCTTTGTCTAATTCATGAATGTGGGCTCGCAATTTATTATCCCTTTCCCAATAACACATTAAGTGGCCATCATTATATTATTATGCTCAATGTTTATCAACATTTTTCTTTCTTTTTTTAAATAATGGGTCATATTGTGTGTAAGGTGTGACCCAACAACTGAACAACAAACATCCTATTTATTTATTTATTTATTTTTGCATTCTAAATTAATTATCACGACCATAGACACAGTGCATGGCACAAATTAAAGCGAGTCAACTTCATATCACATCATTTAGACTCATCCTTTTATTTTTTATTTTTGCAGTCAACAATTTCGTTCTAGTCTATTAACCAAATGATTTAGTCCCTTACATGGTTTTAAATAAATCCGCAACAGTCTTTCTCTTCACAAGCTTTGACCATATTAATCTCACCATCTATATAGTGCCATCATCTTTTTTCTCATTTTTTTTTTATTTGTTTTTTTTTTTTTCATTCCATTTATTCTTCTTTGTTTTTTTTAGTTGTAATCATTTTAAACTTTCATCTAGGAATAAATTGCTTCTCATCAACAAACTAAACTTTCTCAATATCTCTCAATGTATTATGAAATAGTGAGAATTATTGATCTCTCTATTCGGATTATGAAATGTGGATTGATACGTGTATTTATATTTACTGTCGCTTTTTGTTATTGAGTTGGACTGAACAATTTTCGATAATTGAAGGGAACAAATTAGAATAACTGACAAATTTCGAAACTTTGCATAGTACATGAGGGTTTTTTTGCAATCAATCCTTTAAAAAAGGATAGTAAAAGAATAAGGAGTTACAACTCACCATACACCTTTAAACATTAATTTTTATTCAGGCTCCGTTTGTTTAAGCATAAAATATTTAAAATATATATATTTTTTTGTATTTTTTGGTATTTGTTTGTCGAAAAATATTTACGAAGAAAAAAAAGATCTAACAAAAATAACTTATTTATCAAATCTCGACCTAAACCTTGGCCATACCAAAAAATAAAAATAAAAGAAAATATTTACCTGGAAAAAGAAAATATTTTAATATTTTCAGAAGATTTGATTTCAAAGCCTTTGCAATGTCATTATTATAGACCACTAAGAGAACTTGATAGTGCTAGGAATAGATATACTGATAATTCAGCAGCATGTCATATCTTGCACGTGCATTTTATATTAAAAAAACCCTACATTTCCTTTAAAATTGTTCCTTAAGGTGAAAGTTGGGGACATCATAATAACATCAACAAGAACAATAATATTAGGCTCCATGATCCAAGTGACATTTAATTTGTAGTAAAATAATTGATAAAGTAATGTAATAGTAATTTATAATTTAATATGATAATGGAGAATAATTTAGGGTTTGTGCAGTAAGTGGATGGACAACTATGATTCCATTACAATGATCTTGTTCATAACAGAAGTGGGAGCACCCAAAACGAGCTTTAATAAAAGTGTTCATATATGATAAAGGGACAGGTGGCAAAGAAGTGAGTCCACTTGGAAGCACTTAGTTTGTGAAAGGGGGTTATTCTCCAATTACATCAGAACCTAATCAACCACACATTGACCACAATCAACATATATATATAGAGATAAAATTGTACTTCAATAATAAATGTTAAGAGGAAAAGAAAAAACTCCAAAGATGGCCATGTCCATGTGACCTCTAAACAAGTTTCAACAGTCAACGGATAGAGAAGAAACAATCACATGCCTCATAACCCCTTTGTGAGAGTACTAAACAATTCCATTTGGTGTCGGACCTCTTACAGCACCTCATAATCTATCACCAAACACATACGCAGTCCCCTCATTCCAGATGTCATTCCAGATGGACCGAACAATTACTGACAAAATTCCTTGAGAATGGCTCCAAGAAGATCCGAACTCCCGGCCTCCGGAAAATAGAAAAAGCCCTGTTGATTTGGGAACTATGGGACATAGCCAACAATTAAAGTGGGGAGAGAGAAAATAGAAAAACAAAAATCAGTGTAGTGAGCAAAAATGAAGAGACTTGTCGAGTCAGCCAAAGAGATACATGTGGCAAGTGCGGATACTACTATTCGATCACATTTCCCTAATTAAAGGAAGAGATGATGGGACTCTCTTTAACTGTTGTTAGTTGAAGATAATGGAAGATGAGAAGTTATTTATTGTCTTAACCTAGGCATCATGAACCTAAATTTTGATTTGACCTTGTTCCAAACTTGACATTATCATTTTTTTACTATATAAGAGTATAAAATTACATAAGTAATGTACATTTATTTTAGGCAACATATTTTTGATCATACATATCATGACCAAAAGATTATTACAGAATTTTAAAGCTTAGACAAAATTCACTAACAAACACATTTTATCCCACGAGTACGAAGCAAGTTCAAACCTATGTTACCAATTGTTAGATCAGATGCAGTACCTTCAAAAGATACAAAATTACATTAATTCAACTATGAATAAACCCTTGTAACTCCAATCCTCGAATTTCCTTCCTTCGAAAGCCTAAGTTTCGAATCAAATTCACTCTGAAATGTTTATTAAAAATACAGAAAGTTATACCACTTACCTATTACAACACATTTTGTCCCACGAGTACAAAGCAAGTTCAAACCTATGTTACCACATGTTACATCAGATGCGGTACCTTCAAAAGATACAAAACTATATTAATTCAACTATGAATAAACCCTTGTAACTCCAATCCTCAAATTTCCCTCCTTCGAAAGCCTAAGTTTCGAATCAAATTCACTCTGAAATGTTTATTAATAATACAGAAAGTTATACCACTTACCTAACTACTAATAGTGATTAATATAGTATAAGGGCTAAACTTGTATGGGGGAGAGAAGAAATAAGAATCAATAAGATAAGTTTCAAATATTATGAAATGGAAATGTCAAACTGAAAATTTCAAATCAAAACCATAAGCAGAGAAGTCACTTTAAATATCAATTGGGGGATATGAATGATCAATAAACATAATTCATATAATTCAAAAGTTTCACTTATATACTTAATGTTCATATGAAAACCATTTAAATGGTTCCAAAATTAATCTGTAGCTAGTTACTTGCTTCATTTAGCATCCGCATGACCTAGTTTTCTAGTTGTTCAATCTGATTTTAAGGGTGTTTTGTTTTATGCATAGTTTGATATTGGGACTTCAATCTTAAATTTGATCTTAATTTGTAGAATAACTAAGTATGTCCTTTTTGTGTTTTATTATGATTTAGATTCTATTTTTACTTATCAAAAAAAAAAAAAAAAAAATGATTTAGATTCTATTTTGCATGTTTTTATTTGGTTGCATCACCTAAGAGCCATGGATAAGACATATTAGTAACATACTCGGACCTCTATTTTCGGTAATTACCTCTAGTTTAACTTGTTTGTATGCTCATATCCCTCGTGAATTTTGAATTTTAAGGATTGTCAAATTGGTTCTATAATTATGATTTAGTTGTCAGAAAGTAAAATATAGAGTTGCATTTTTTTATTTCTATATTTATTCAAGGCTTAGAGTCAAAATATATTTCACCTACAAAAATATTGTCAAAATATCAAGTTGAATCCAGAACTATATACTTGTATGGTAATTGATCCATGCTAATTAGTATGAGCTTCCTTATTTGTTCCCATTTATTGATCTAAATGTACTGTGTGATGCTTATAAATTTTGAACATTAGGTTATTAAACCCAACCCAATCTTGGGTTACCATGTAGGGGCTTGCACCAAGAGGTAGCTTTGAAGCATTTCACTGAAAAGCCCATCATGGAAATTAAATATCACTTGACCAATTTATTCTGAAAACCACCTATTTATTCTGAAAGCCCAATGCCAAAGGTCATTTTTAAGATAGATGGAAATCCAATTAGACGTTAAAAACATGAATTAAAACAAACCAAAGTTTTTATAAATCAAATTGAAACAAAAACTAGTAAAAAAATTTAAAAAGTTTTAGGTTGGATGCTCCAGTAGCCCCCGAAAAAGTTAGATTTCTGATATCTGTAGCATCCTTGAATCCCCTTAGGAACAAAAATAAAAGAAGAATTAATTATGAAGAAAGCTAATTAAAAAAGATTTTTTTAAAAACAAGCCAAGTTTTTGGAAATCACACAAACCGCCAAAATAATAATAATTTTAAAAAAGAAAGAAATCCAAACAAATTCCATTGATTGAAGGACACTAAATCATGTAAACAAACCACAAAATCAAAAGTAGATTGTGAAAGAGGCCACAAAATGATAACACAGAATTGAAGATTAAAGATCATCTTGAGATGTGCATAAATAGGCCACTTTCATGAATTTTAATTCAAAATAAACGCAAACCCTCATAATCTGATCCGCATGGCATGACTTTGAAAATCATTAAGTAATAAAAATAATGTTAAAACCATTCAAAAAATAGAAATTTAATAGCATACCAAATTAGGGGTGCTTAGCACATAAACAATAATTTATTTCACAAAAGATAATGAATAGTGAAATAATTAAAGGGACTGTGTTAACCGGATTACCTCCAAGTTTAGAACCTCTGAGAGTATACAGAAGCTCCTAAATTATTCTAAAACCAATGAGGGGCGAATTTGAGTCCAGCAATCCTGAGATTTTGTTTCTCTTGATCAGACCTTTGAAGCTGCTTCCCGTTTGTTTATGTTCTCTGCAGATGGGTCAACAAATTTTATTGTTGTGTTATGGAGAATATAAAGGAACTAGGATGAAAACTGACAAAGGAGGTTGAAGTTTCTAGCAGTGTCATGAGATCTTCTAATCGAGCCTGAAAATAAAAGGTTATTTATTGGTTTTACAAGGAGACTGAGCTAGAGTTTCAGAGTGTAGATCTTCCCGAAATGCCACAAAGTTGTTTGAATATGTAGGGAGGTCATCTCTAGAATGCAAGGAAGACACGTTCTCCAGAAAGTCCCTCATTGGTTAAATTCCACAATAAATTTATACTGGAACTATGATACTTTACATGTGATTCCCACCTTCTTTTTCTGAGTCCTGTGGCCTGATTTACAACTGATGCCATGTTGAGTTCTCCTTATGTTGGCCATTTACAGTTCTCGCATACAAAAATGTAGTAACCATCACTGTAGCAACAAAGTCCCCTGCAGCTTAAGATGAAGATCATTCAGCAAAGTGGTAAATAACAATAGCATTAATAGTGGTGGTGTACTTGTAGGAATAGTACCAATGCTAGTCACAAGTGTAGTGCTAGTCGTAGTGGCAGTAGTAGTAAAAATTGCAGTGGTAGTGGTGGAGATGGTGACAGCAGCAGCAGTAGTAGGCCTAGTGGTAGTGTTAGTGGTACCAGTGGCAGCGTACTAATAATTGTTGTCGTCTTCCTCGCTACTGGTCCTCGTAGTCGTAGTAGTAGGACAAAGACATTTTCTTAAAATATATTCCAACTCATATCCCAGTAGCATGCAATTATACAGCAGAAGCCAAAATATCCTCTTTTGGGGGCTGCAGAACAAATGAAAATCGTTAGTCAACTTATTTCAGAACTCAAACCATCTGATATCAATTAAAGATGCACAGTTACTTGAAAGTTACCTCACCTCAGCATCACTGCAAATCATCGCAGCCTATGTAGATCTTGAGCAACTACTTATGTGGTTTAATTTACACACAAAATCAAGTTGTTTCACTCACCACGTCACCCCTATTAAAACATTCCCACATTTGTATAAATAAAGAAACAGGATCTAATGCTGAACTCTCCTGGGGCTTACCTGATGAACAAGGCTTGTCGGTGACTATTAATGAATGCCACCTAATTTCTTTCCTTTGTCTCATAAGAAGGACCAGAAAATTTCATACGTAGTAAAAATGCAAAACATGAAACTGCTACAGTATTCAAACTCGGTCATCTATGGATTGTTAGAAAAACTATTACTACGTAAAATTAAGGAAAGTGAAAGAAAGGAAGAGTTCGCATAAATATAGAAAGTAATGTAGAGTGCATCTGGATGAAACTTCTTTGAAAAAAGGCTTTTGATGCACAAAAAAAATGGTTTCCAGTGGCTCATTATTACATATCATCAGGAACTACAATTAACTGCAATTTTTACTATAACATCCATAGCAGAGTCGCAGACAAATTTGCTTCGAAACATATTAATTTATAAAGTCTTTGGCTACATGTTTGGAGCACCCAAGATGTGTTTGCATATAAACTAGTTTCATAAATTAGAACATATGGCAAACATCAATATAAGACCACCCCTGTTCAGTCTGCTTGGATGGAACTGATGAAGTGATTTACTTGATATCTTCTTCAAAAGGTGGCTGCTGGGATTAAAGAAACTACAAATTCAAGTACATCAAAATTATGTGATTTTGAACAACTCAAATCTCTTACAAAATAGCAAGATGGAATGTATATTGTCTAAGAAAGTAGTTTTAAAAACTCAGCCTCTTCTAATAGCTGAATATGACAAATCTATAAGCAAACTATAAAGTAAAATGAAAAACCAATTCCCAAAATGACAAGTTACATGTTAAACTCTAGTAGCCACAGACAATTTATTTGTGTTACTCCCAGAAACTCATCCCTTGTTCATATATCGTCATTTGTTGTTTCCTACGTCCTTCACCAAACAACTGCAAATTGCTACTCTTCTGTGATGTTTTTCTTATTCAGTTGGTGCATTTTTCTCCTTGCCGTGAATTCTTCTAAATTTTAAACGTCCACCCACCAAAATTTTAAAAATCGTCATGAATTCCACTAAATTTTATCATACCAAGCATCTGGTTAAAACCTGCAAATAGTTTCAAATGTAGATCTTTCCTCTCCATAAACACTTAATTGTATCCATTCGATGGAGACCACAAACTTGTGACTTCAATGCTACATAAACCTAGTTAATATGGAAACCCCAAGTTAATACTACTACTAACAAATTTCCAATCTTCCATATATACTACATAAACCTAGTTAATATGGAAACCCCAAGTTAATACTACTACTAACAAATTCCCAATCTTCCATATGTAACATAAAGAAATAATAACCAAAAACTTCAACCAAAAAGGAGAGTCGAACACTCTCCATCCACTTGATACGTGGGACCCACTCCTCATTTTCATTGAAGTTTCATATACATGACACATCCATAGCCTCAATTTCAATAACAAATAGTCTACTCAATTGTCCTCATCAATCTTTCATCAAAAAATTTGAAGTAAAAACCAGTTTCACAAGCAAAGCACCAGTAATTTAAAAAATATAGTCAACATCACAATTTAATTTGCCATAAAAAAAATCAACTAATACAAATTTCACACCCAAATAAAACCATCAAACAAACAAACAAATGTAAAACAGAATAATTCAAATTCAACCCGCCCCATCTCAACATTTTCCCAAATTCCCACTTCTACGCAATAATCATACTGTACAATATTTCTATCTATCTATAAATATATATAAAAAGCTGAAATCAATCATATTTCAGTTTCCAAGAGTAAACAAGAAAGAAAACCCAAGAAAGAGCCAATAGAATGTCACCAACTAGTTGCCTCAACCAATCCAAAGCTAGGTCTTCGACCCTCCTCTCGAAGTTGAATCTCCAGACCGCCATTGATACGTGAAGCGCCACACACCCTTTGGCGAAGAAGCTCTGGAAGTCTCTGTCCTTGACGAAGGCGACCATGAAGAGGAGGAACCCGATTGTGAACAGGAGCAACCCGGAGAAGGAATCGGAGGTCCGGATCAGGAGCTGATCGTGCGGTGCAGAGCCCAAGATCTTCGTGGCGGCTTCGTTCCCGTGTGTGAAGGTGTATATGTCCTTCATGTAGAACATCATCAGAGCACCACTCGTGAGGGCGACCACGGAGTGGAGGAAGCAGATCACAAAGAAGAGAGATGGACCCATTGATCACGAATGGGGTTGATGAAAGTTGGTTAATTTATATAGCTAGACGTGTTGTACTGTATCAAAAACCCTAACCCTAATTTTAATCCTAATCCTAATCCTACAGTTTGAAGTGACAATGGATTGGAGAAATTGAGACTCTGGACCTCACCATAGTTTGCTGGTTTTTTATTTTATATATTTTTTTTAATAAGTAAAGGGCGCAACTAGGTTAGAATAAGTTTGATGGTTTTGTTCATGTCATGTCACATATATATATATAGTATGTGTGTGGATATATATAGATATATATATATATAGAGAGAGGTGCGTTTGAGATGAAGATAGGGGATTCTTAGCTCTGCTGGGATTCAAAGATATTCTCATTTGGCATTATGTGACCCAGTGCAGTTTTGGATTTTAGTGACAAGAACTTGGTGTGTGTTTAAAGAATGTGAGAAACAAGAACTTGGGACCCAAAAAGGAAGTTGATATATTACCTTATATTTTTCATAAATAGGCCTTTTATATATATATAGTATTTTTTATTTCTACTTGCAAAAGCTTCAAATTTTAGATTTTCCTAAAAACTCCATTTGGACAAAATTTCTACTAATAAAATATAATTCTATTTTTTTTTTTTTTATCAAACACAACGAGGGGCGGAGCAACGATTTTTGTTTAGGGATGCAGTGTTAAGAAAAAGAAGAAAAAAATTTATTTAAAGGAAAACAAAAAAAAAAAGAAAAATGACAACTTAAAAAAAGGAAAAAATTAAAATTCAATTTAACAAGTAAAATTTAACTTTTTTCAAGGAATTTGAAGAGTAAATTAGGAAGGAAAAAAAATAGAAAATTAAGAGATAATTTTAAAAACTACTATTTTTAGAAGGTATTATATAAAAAAATTTCATATATATATATATATATATATATATATATATATATATATATAATATAAAAAATTTCTATATGTATAGTAGGGGGCAAGACGAAGGGGACAAGTGTTTCTTAGACAACTGCCTCCGCCCTGGACATAACTAATAAAGAATTTTCAAATTGAAATGTCAAATAGAGGCATAATGAGATAATGATGATTGGGATAAATACTAATTACTATGATTCAAATTACTTTTAAATAAATATTTCTAATTTTTATATTTTTATATATATAATTGGACGAATGGATGACAAAATTAGGATAGTACAATTAACTATTGTTGCCTATATAAATTTGTCAATTTGATAATTATTATTTATGAAAACTGGCAATGACAATGGAGCTCTAGTCGTCGAAAAAAAAAAAAAAAACAGAAAAAACAAAATCGTCGGCAATAAATAGGATCAAAGAAAAAATTCAGGACTCATAGGATTGCCACAAACTTATCTTTTAACATTATTTTTGTCATTATTGATTGATTTCATATTCAACTTTGTGTTTGAAAGTCAAAACTACCTAAGAAAGAATGGTGCAAAAAACACGGAAGAAAAAAAAAATGATTGGATAAAAAATGGTGATTATCTTTTTATTTATTATTATTATTATAAAAAATAATGTCTTAATGTATTCCTAAGTAGTATCTATCGAAAAACGAGTAAATTAAGGAGTATATAGAGTAAATTAAGGAATATATACTCCGCGGGCATAGCTTAAAGAAATTAATTATATTTAAAACAATCCAACATTAAACATATATTCCAGAGGCAAAGGTGCCCTAGTGTAACAAGGGTCATTTTGTCCCACATCGGAATCGAATGGGAAAGAGATTGGGTATAAATGGGTGGGTACGCAGCCTTACCTCACACTTTGAGTTTTTGGGTAAATGGGCAAGCGCCCACGTGTGACAGCTGGTATCAGAGCCAAACTCAGTCCTTGATCCGGTGCCACGCCAAGCGCCCGGCCCGGAAGGCGTCCGGGTGAGTCCACCCGGGTAGGCAGGGTGGCCCAACCGCAACGAGGGCTTTGCGAGTTTGGGTGAGGAAGAATGTAACAAGGGTCATTTTGTCCGACATCGGAATCGGATGGGAAAGAGATTGGGTATAAATGGGTGAATATGCAGCCTTACCTAACACACCCGTTACACCTAGCCACATATGGATATGGAAAGATTTTTATATTTGTATAATTATCCTGTCTTTTTTCACACTTTTGACTTTATTACAAACAAAATGATTATTTCTATCACATTTTCTAAATAATAATAAATAAAAAAAACCATTTATAGGGGAATCAATCAGTATTTTTTTTATCATCTAATTTACGATTATTATTTGATATTATAATTTTAATTAGAAAAATTATTAATTATTACTATCAAAATTATTTTAGGGCTTCTTGTTCTTTCAAAATTTAGTTTGTGTAATTGTGTTACTAATTACTTATTATGAATACATTGATAGTCTAACATAATACTTGTTAAGAGGACAATTATGGATGTACTAAATAGAAATATTATGAATCAATATTTTAATTTTTACATATATAATTTTAATTCAAATTATATTATATATATATATATATATATATATATATATATATATTATTGTTATTAAAAATTGTCTCCACAAAAAGAAATTACTGTTATTACAAATATATTAATAATCTAACATAATAGTTATTAAGAGGACACTTATGAATGTACTAAATAGAAATATTATGAATCAATATTTTAATTTTTATATATATAATTTTAATTCAAATTATAAATATATTATATATACATATATATATTATTGCTATTAAAAATTACCAACACATAAAGAAATTACTAACTACGCTTAAAGAAATTAATTACATTTAAAATAATCAAACGTTAAACCGGACCGAACGACTTGAGCAATGAAATTCTTATATTACTAAACTTTCTTAAAGACTAAATAAAATTGTTTTATTAGTGACACATGTCAGTCATACTTCAAATCTTTAAAAATGATATAAAAAATAAATAAATAAATAAATAAATAAAATATGCCGACATAATATGAGATTCGTGAGAATGATGGGAGAAGAATTCAGTTCCTGTGGTCCACAAAAATAAATAGGATATATAAATAAAAATTGTGAAGTGTCACCTGTATTTATGATAATATAGTTTAATTACTCCACCTTTGACTTCTCATTTTTGTCTTGTTGTTGCGATTTGAGATATTTACTAATAAGATATTTCCAGTTCTTTGTGGGGCCCAAATTAAATCTTTGCCACCATTAGAAATGGGTCCCTATGGAAGAAATTCAAGGCTTCAAGCCCTTTCGTCCTTTGCAGTTTGCACCCTTGCCTCCCTTTCCTATTTTCAAATTTTTTGTTCAATTTTATTTTTTCTTTTTTGTTAAAATAAAAATTAAAAAATATAGAATTACATATACATGTACATATATAGTTGTAATGTTTTAGTAATTAAATTTTGTGGGTATCACAAAAACTCATAGTAAGCCTTAGGACAATGCAAAGCAGCAACCAAGCGACTCTTCGAATCAAATAAAAACCTCAATGTTGTGTCAGGTTATCAATCCTCAAAAGCATAACTCTATAACCCTAGAATCCAATGAAAATAGTGACGACACGTCAGGTCATCAAATTTCGTAACTACACCTCTAGAATTTAAAAAAAACTCTGACAACACACTAAGTTATTAAACCTCGATAATGCAACTCTCGAGTCTGATGAGAATCCTGACGTCATGTCAGGTCATTAAACCTTGATAGATATGATCCTTGGGTCTAAAAAAAATATTGACATCAAGCCAAGTCATCTAGGTAGGGATAAGTAAGTTATTGAGTTAGAAGTACAGGGGTGACACCCTAAGGATTTTGGATTGCCGGAAGGAAAGTCAAAACTTGCCTTGCCGGAAAGAAAGTCAAAACTTGCCTAAACATAAGTAATAGGTCTAGCAAAGGGAATGGTGAACAATATGCTGCGAATGGTGAACAATATGGCTCACAGAAACCCTTACAATCACCGTTAATGATGTGCTTAGAGCTATTAATGCTTTCAACCACCTCCTTTGTTTCCCTCCAGAATCCTGGATCGGTTTAAAACTTTTCCAAACTCGTTCAAGTAAAATACAGGGCTCAAATTGGCAAATCGCCAACCCCACTCACCATTCACCTCATGCCTGGTTGTACCGGATGAAGCCCCATCTCAAATGAATTTTCCTGGACAAAATAATTTTCCCCAACTTCTTGAAAGATGTGTTACAATGGTTTGTGTTGCAATGGTGAAAGATCTCTCTCATGATTAGATATAATGCCAGAAAGAATGTGACAGTAAACATATTTGTTGAGACTGGACTGAGTTTTATCAACACAATGAACACCTCTCATCCACCTGCATCTGGACTCCCTTATCATGATTTAATTCTTAAAAGAGACAAAAGGAACATAATTAAATAAATAAATAAAAGGGTATAAACATCCAACCAGGGAGGCTGAAGAAATTTCAGTTAAACTTTCATTTTAATGTAAATATAGTCAACATAACAATTGCCAACAAAATGGGTCATCACTTGAGGAACTGAAAACATCCCATATAATAATTATTGAAATTTTGACTATATATACAACAAAAAATGGATAATTTTGACAATTCAAACAAAAATGAAGGATATAAGAAACTGTTGTGTAGAAATGCAACTACAACACTCACCTTGCACGTATTCCTAGCCCCGCATTGAATGATTTTGAAACAGGGAAGGAAAAAGTAAAAAAAAAAATCGCGTGAACCAAAATTTTAACTTGAAATGGTATCCTTACTGCCAGCAGCAACTTTGCGATGACGCTTCGAACCGGATTTCCTGCCTCTCCCATGCTTCAATGGTGTCTTTCTAATAGGATTACTTACAATACTTTCTGTTAAAATCTCCACTTGTGTTTCATTTGGTGTTTCATCAATTACAGGTGTTGGATGATGATCAACATCGATAGCAAGAGACGGCGGCTCTATCACCCCTCTATGGTACGCCTGCATATCATATATTACATACATAATAAGAGTGAGTCTCATATGAAAGAGAACTAATGGAACTGGCACTCCCCAAAGCCTGGAAAGGGAGAGAATATTTGATCATAACGTAAAATTCTGCTGCATTTAATCCAGTAACTAAAAAGCAAGTGGAAACCGGAAATGTATGAAAATGACGGGAGATGTTCGAAAAATATACAGAAAATGTAACAGGAAAAAGACCGGAACTAAAAGGTGGTTAGGAAAACAAGATGATAACAAGAGGAAAAACTAAAAGGATCAAAAAAGATTATTATTGACCATTAAAAGCATCTGATTTACTTCTTCGATTGAATTTGATGGTCAAAGTTCAACATTAACCCTAGGCTCTTGAATTAAACGAGAACCATCACTAAACTGATTGTGTTCTACAAGCTTCAAGATTTTCACTAACACCAGTGGCTGTCTTCAATTACAATTATGAGACTTGTATAGATGCCATAGAAGATGGTTTCTGGGGTGTGGGATTGCATGTGTGTGTGTGTAACAAAATGGTTTAACTCAAATTTTAAGTGACATCCACATGCAACTCAATAAATCCACATACATTAGGAACCCTGGAGAAAGGAAAAAAAAGAAAAGAAAAGGAAAATGAATCTGTGTAATAATGGAATGAAAAGATGAGAACAAAGGAAAATGAATGTGTGTAATAATGGAATAAAATGGAATGAAAAGACGAGAACAAGTAATATTTGAAATCTTAGATTAAATTAATTACCTGCAGTACAAAGTTGCGCCTTTCGCAGTCCAAGAACATATTAACACCCCAATTTGTCTTTGACATAATCTTGTCCCTTACGATAGAAAAACTAATCTGGTCTCTGGAAGTAAAACGGTCAACTTCATTGAACCAGAGACAAGTAAAGAGGTTGGAGATAGGATTATGTTCCCTTACTATTACACATCCTTCAGGAACATCTGCAAAACCCAGTCATATAACAGTAACGATATCACATGTGAAAGTGAAGAGACACAAACATGGGGACAAAGACCAAGGATCACATTCTTACCACTTGTTATAGGAAGCTTAGCCTCAGAGTATGGGGTTAAACCCTCCCTTCTATAAAAATCGACCTGGAAGTCAATGGAAGCATTATCATATTTACCAGCAGCTTTATTAGCCTCGGCCTCAACAAACACGTCAAAGCGTCTGTAATGCCTCGATATTGCAAAACTGGCATTTTTCCTCCACAAGAACCTGGAAGACGAAAAAAACTTAAAGTCAAAATATTTCTTAAAAGAATGCTGATTCAAGCTTGTGCAGAAAGACCCAACTATCATTCAGGTCCCGGCATAGTCACATTTCAATGATGCCAGGCTGACATTCAAAATCCTTAGTGTTCCATCCACCTAGTCTTAAATTCATTAAATCCACCCGACACTAATTGTAAGAGAATCATACTGTTACCTTTTTTTGGCAGAGACATAAGCCTAGTTTGTCACATCTATTTGTATGCTGTGAATGTTGCAACATAAGTTGAGCCAAAATGTAATTCCAATTCACCAAACAGAAAGCAAATATACAATCCAAGCGCAAATTTATTTATTAGGTTGAAAGTCACAACATGTGGGTGCTTCACCCAATGGATAAAGCCCGAAAAGGGGTATAAGAAATGGCCTTTTAAAAAGTAAAATGACACAAGGGTATAAGAATGCCTCCAGTGAGGGTGAAGATGATGACAAGTGGTGAAGAAGGAAGCAACAGGTTTTAACACAATAAAAGTCCATTACCCAGTGTATATCCCGTCTACTGGGGGGTTGGAGTAAAAAGGGAGATAGACTAAACCTTTGGCACTATTTTGGACAAAGTAGATACTCTTAGACACAAACTGTGGCCTTTGAGCTTTTGCTGTTTCACCGAGCAAATACCCCTTTTACACAATATGCAATCAGAATAATTATAGGGGGGAAATGATGGGATTTGCTATGTAAAAACTATAAAAGCCCTAATTGATTAAACAGGCACAAAGTTCATGATGACTAGCAATGACTACAAGAGCCTTGTATACCTCTAGCCCAAATTCCTCACTGCCGAGAAATCTACACAACACAGTTCTCGGTCAATCTCAATCTAAGACAATAACTTGTCCACTACACAAGTTTCAAAGAGATTTTGCTATTTGCTCTGTAAGCTCACTTTCATGTATGAACAGAGGAACAAGAGAAGGATTTTCTAAAGATCCTAGGAAAGAGGATTCATAGTTTTGTCCTACTCCAATTATGAGAAAATCCTCATAAGGAAAGAGATTTTGAACGGGTGATGGAGCAGCATCACGTCTCACAAAGACGTGGTTTTTACTGACTGATGAGACACCCCACTCCAACTGTAATTCAAGAAATTCATTAGTCCATGTCAAAAGACCAAGTATAATTAAGTAGGTTTCCCTCCAAACTTCTGGACCCTTTCTATGTGTCAAATAAATAAGAAAAAGACTATATACCTTTCAAGTATTTGATATGGATCCACAACAAGTTCGAGTTTTCCATCGATCCATAAAGAGTAGCGGGCATTGGGAAAGAGCCTATGCAATAGAAGCTTTGGGACCTGCAAAAGGGACAAACAGTGTGAAAAGATTTTCAAAACACTGCCTGCTGTAAATTAATGAAGACTTCAGGGCACAAAACCCAATGGATTCAAATTGCAGAGCAGTACCAGTTTATGAGTTGTTTTTTGTTCATATAATGAAGCTAATATTGCTAGGAGCACAATCAACATATGTTGTCAAAAATGAAAACTAAAACTTTGTTAAACAGAAAGGGGGCAGAAAGAGATGGATTGATATACAATCAAAGAGGAACACAAGAAAGAAAAGAAAAGAGAGAAGGCAAAACTCAGGGCAAGAAAAATGAGGTCCTCATGTCTATTGAACTCCTATATTGTCATGACAACGTGGAGAGAAGAGCTACTGAGTCCTATTATTTAAATAAATATGTTCCTCGTTAATGGCATCGTGAAAATCACCCATGCCATACAACAACGTCATAACAAAAGCATTCAGGGGGGATTAACCAAATAACCAAAAGCAGATGTGAAAACACAAATAGAACAGAAAGCTTAGGCTGATGATGAAAATCCTGATGATATTAAACCATCATGCATATGAAGAACAAATCCAGGTTAAAAGATTATTCCTTACCAAGAGTTTCAAAATTCAACAATTAATCAAGAAGATGCCATGAATATGTCTGGGAAATTTAGGAACATATTTGAGGGAAATAATAGTTTTTACATTTTACAGCAACAAAAATAAATAAAAATTAATGAAACAAATGTTAAAAGTATATCAAAATGTGTGTAGTAACCCACATTATTCAACAACTTAGCAAATAATCCAGAATTTTATCCAACTAATCAGCAAATAATCCAGGATTATATCCAACACCTGAAATATTCCTTAGTTATCTGATATGTTTAATTATATACAATAATATTGGATGATGTACATCATAAGGAAAAAAAAGAAGGATAAAATGTTGAGATTTAACATTTATATAATCCTAAATGCCGGCCAGCAGCTGCAGTCAATGTAGAAGAAATTAGAGGCTGATCTAGAGGCACATGTCAGATCCTTAAGGCAGCACAAAAAGTGTTGGAAGAATTAGCTGGCAGAGATTCAATACAAGTTATGCAAATGAGCAATAACTTAGAAGAGAAAGAATGCAGATGGAAACCAACAGAAGGGATTAATTAAGCTCAGCTGCTCAAATGATCACTACAGTGTTTGAGGAAACTATACAATTCTGACTTAACAGATAGTCTAGATGGCAAGAGGTAAAGTTAGAACCTCTATAACCCCAAGGGGTTGGCTCAAGTGGGTAAGTCACTTGGCCCTGGTGCCTCAGGAAGCATTAGGTCTAAGGTTCAACTCCTCTTGGTTGCAAACAATTTCTTGACAGTGAGAGGGGGGATATCAACTAGAAAAAAAAAAGTTTGAAGCTCTATTACGAGACAGGATGCTGACTGCAAACCAGAGGGGCCCAGTGCTGCCTCTAGAAAAAGAATGCGATAAGGTACTCAAGGAAACCCCAGAACCAGAAGACCCACAACCAATGTGACTGCCAGTGGAGGAAAAGAAATCCATGTTTGATGTTTCATCTTTCTTCTAAAACTATAGAGGGTAGCACTCAAGCTAAGAAGATACTAGTTCCCATAAGGGAAGAAGAAAAGATAGCTTTTTAGGTGCCTAACTTAAAAGAACTCTTAAGAGTTAAAAAAAAAAAAAAGGGACCCAGACAGAAAACTTAATTAACAAGATCAAATGGACAAAAATATGGCTCGGCACCAAGGTTATATAACTTGAAACTACATAGTAATATGCTGCAAACGTATAGAAAATTCAGGGAAGGGCAAAACACATCTGTCCCCCCAAAAGGTGATAGAACAGGCTCTTGTCAAAAATGTTCAAGAGAATGGGAAGGAAGAGGAGATAATGGAGAAGGACAACTAATTGCCATACCTCCGTCTAAGCAAACGACAAAAAAATATTGGGTTGGAGTTAGATTAGAATAGATATATATCAAAAGGGAGCAGCTTATATCTCGTCTCAAAAATGTCGCAACATCTAAAGAGTAAATAACATATATTGTGCAGCATGAATAAGATAAGTTTTTGCGTCAAGATGTTTGGATAAGTGGATCAGACATGCATCATGAGCTTCACTCAGCTGACACAAGTTTCAGCTAGTTAGAGACTCAAATCTGTATTACTGATTTCATTTGAAATCATCATTCCACAGAATGTCAAATCGTTTTTTAGGATGTAGGGTTCACCTTCAGGCTATACTTTTAACTCTGGAAATGTAATACATTTTTAAAAGTGTGTAAGTTAAAAACCAAAATAAGAGTTCTCAAGGTTGAAATCTAAAACTTTGGTTGACTTCATTCACTCTGAAAGTAATCCGTCAAAAATGACAAACATAACATTTTCTCTTTCTTGCATGATGCAGCACCACAACACAGGATGAAAGCCTTTCTATTCTATATGTTTTATTAGGAATTTAAAATTTTCCTGCATCAGTCTAAACAGGATGTTTCAGTGGCCTTCTATGATAAGACACTGACAAGATTTTAAACTTTGGCATTATGCAATTCTTCAGTCACTTCATAAGCATAATCAATTTGCACCACAGTATAGAAGTTGAATCAAAGCATAAGTTCTGTCTTCTTAAGGTTTTATATTTAAAATTTGGAATCAGCTTCCGCCACTTCTATAGTATAATTAATCAGTGGAAGTTTTAAAGATTCAAATCATGAAATTTTCTTCCCAAATAAATAGTATTCAGACTACAACTACGCAAAATATGGAAAGATTTCTGAGTCTGTGCATGAAATATATAAGCGAATGGCTAATGATTAATAAAATTAAAGACATCCTTATTTGCTGTCTGTCCCTGGAAATCAGCTGATGGAAGAAGCTATTAATTGACATGGCAGCTTTCTTGTATCGTAAAGCGTATATGACAATATGCAGCTTCCATGCACTCATCTTAAGAAATATTATTAACAAAAGCACTTTATACACATGCAATAATCAGATATCATTACCAGAAAACTTACAGCTCATAACCCAACCTCTGCTATAAATTTGAAATCTTATGAAAACTTACCTTTCCATTGCGTCTTGGATCAGTGTAAGGAAGGTTATGGACAACAACAATTCTCCACAAGCCAAGCCTCTTGTCACTTTCCAGTGCACTAGAATTTTTCAAATATGCTTCTGTTTCTTCATCCACAAACATATAAAAGCAGACAGACTTCTTAGCATCTTCACTAATATTCTTCGGTTGTTGTATTAAATCATAAGCTCCTGACAGAGAGACCATGAATTAGAATAAAATCCAAAAGCTCGAGCATGGGAATTGAACTTTCAAATGGAAATTACGAAGAGCAATACCAAATATTGCTGATGCAACAACCACCCCGTGACACTGCTGCATGTCAAGAAGGTCGGAATCATCAATATCAAAGCCTGTATGACGTCCAGGTTTATTTCCTCTGACAAATCTATTGATATAGATATGCATTGACCAAAAAGCACAACAAACACAAATGAGAACATCGCAAGGTAAAGCCCAAAATTATGTGTTATTACCAGGAATAATTAGAAAGCGAAAAGATAAACCAAAAAATATTTTAAAGAAAACAACAATAAGTAATTCAATAAAGTATTTCAGATAAAATTGCCCACGAAAATAATCATACCCGCAATGCACACTCATTGATTCTCTTATATCATAAGAATCATTCCTCTGCTTCAAAGAAGGATATCCACCAAAGTCTGAGCCTCCAAACTCACTTCTAGTTAAATTATCTTCATGAATGTAGGTTAAATTTTTAAGCACAGGAGAAAATGATGGGTCATTTGGCATTAAATCAATGGCTTCTTGGACAGGAAGGTAACATACTGGACATGCTGAAAAAAAAAAAAAAAAAAAAAAAAAGCAAAGTTATCACAGTCGTAATAAGATTGGCATTGCTAGAATTAAATGTACAAATTAGTTCCTATAGTGTATATACTATATGATGCCTTATGCATGTGCCTGTGGATGTATTGTCACAACAGAATAATATTTTACAAAAAACAATCGATTTCCTATGCCTGTGCCTGTGGTGGTGTTGACACAACAGCATAATATTTTATGAAAAACAATTGATAGGAAATCCATAGATTTAAATAACACAAACTTACGGCGTGGTCCGGTCCTTTTTCTATCTGCTGGTGGAGGAGGCAATGCGAAACCTTCACAAGGATTCCCTGGAGGAAGCGTGTAACCTGTAAAATATGCAGCAGGAGAAGGATGCTGTACCACAATTTCACCTCCCATATTATCCGTTTTATTAAGAATGCTGCCATATAGTTCTCCGTGAGTTGGTGAAGATTCAGGATAGCCCCAAGGAAAGCTGCTGTTAAGTGTAATGCTTTGGATAGGGTTGCCTTCCCGTGTTTCTTCACCTGCTAAAAACACAAATGCACAACTTAGTTCTTCACTCAGTTAAGGTACGAAACTATGCAAACCAAAATTGGGATATGCCGTGTAGTGCTTCTAGGACAGCAACATTTGGGGGGGGGGGGGGGGGTGTGGTTGGGGGGGGTGTTGGCATTAAACATGAAGCATACACTTTGAGTAGACCTTTGGATATTAATTCCTCTATTTATATAATTAACATAAATCAATAACAGAACTACACAAGGGTTCAAAAAGTATCATCACCAAGCACCATTTAGGTTCATATTAAAGCATAAATAAATCTTTTTCTCAGGATTCCTTACTGCAGTTGATTAAACTACATAGATGTACACATACAGGTTCATAAATATATGTATTTTGGCTACTTAAGATAAGAATCCGATCATGTAAAACTTAGGGAGAATGGATACATAAATAGATTTAATCTTTTCTACATTCACTGACAGGAGAAAAAAATAATCTTTTCCAAGTTTCCTTATAAGAAAACAGATCAAATTAGATAATTGTGTGTTTATATATAGATATTTACATGTCAAACTATGATGCTTGAGCTGAAATCAAACAATGTAGAACTTCCGGAAAAGGGATGCAAAGATTAGACATCGAACCTTTGTCTAAATACAATACCCATATAAAAACCGCGGCAGAAACAACACACAAGAGCAGCATTCCAACCTTCTTGCGGCCAGCAAATTTGCAGATCCAATGAAAGAAACTCTCCTTCTCTTTGAACATTTTCGACGGCTTACGGGTGGCAACAGGGGGCGTTGTCTGAATTGGCAACACACCGTTCTGAAACTGTTGCAGTGATCCATAACTTCCTGAACGTAGACCCAATGACCCTGTAGTCATTGTTGTCCCTCCAAATCCTCAACTTCCCCTCTCATCGCCCCTCTCCTCTCATTCACACCCAACTGTAATTACTCTCCCCTTTGCAAAATTCACATCCAAAACACAGACCCAGTTCACCAAATCAGCCCCAAAGTTAGAGGCAACACTCAATTTCCACTAAACTGATCAAACAATAACGACCCACTAACAAGTAAACACTAATACTAAGTCATAAACTTAAAACCCAATAAATTTATCCTTTTTTCCCTGGCAATAACAAATGCAAGCAAGCAAAAGCAGATGAATATACTTTCAAAAACAAGTAGATGTCAACTACACAAGCAACTTCATTCAATCAACCAATCAAAACCCACCATCGAATTTCAATTTAGTATCCAATGAACTCAAATTAATCTTGACAGAGAAACTCACAGATCAAAGCTAAGTGATACAAGAGTTCGGCAATCGAGAAGGTTACTGTGGTTGATTTCTAGTTTTTGTGCGTGAATCTAGGGCTCGCGAAATCAAGGTGTCGGAACAAATCTGAGATCACCGTTCGCGACTCCCTTGAATGTGCGATTTATTTTTGAGGATATATCTGAGAAATTTTGTATCATATACACAGAAAATATTTTTGCGTAAATCACTAAAACAATTCAGTTGGCTAAAGTGCGCCATGTGCGTTTTATTATAGACGGTGGTCGTTTTTACCCAATTACCCTTGGTGGTACATCTAAACCCTTATTATAGGGTTAAATTTTTTTTTTTTTTTTTCGCATAGTTTTAGGGTTTAAATTTTGAACCAAGATTGTCTTGATATATTGTTGCACCCTATAAATTTTATATCAAATTTATGTACAGATCATTCATTTTTTATATACAAAATATACTAATTTAAAAGATAATTCATAACATCAATCATCTCATGAAAAATATACAATGTCCATATTGTTTTCATTAATGAAATCTACTATTATGTGAATGTAATATGTATGCTTCTACCTTCAACTTTTTTTTTTTTCCTTCAAATTTTTATACAACTATCAATAATAACTAATTATCAATTTTTTTTTTGAATCACAACAAGCCGTTTCTACCTGTAGTCTTTAGATTCTCATTCAAGCAATCACACAAGTTTGATTATGATAATTTCGATCAATGGTGTTTATTTTTCTTCTTATTGTAAGGTCATTTCGTAGCAACAAGCTCGCTCATAATCTTTATGCAAACTAATTTCTTAAATAATTCTCATTTAATATGTATATATATATTAAATGATTTTTTTTTCACTTATTATTTATGAATGTTAGGTTTTTCCATTTATATGAACTTGCAATTGATGACTACAATACTCAAATCTAGAGTACAAGAACTAATGGACTGAGTTAAGTAAACTTGCAACTGATCAATTCTCTTCTATATATAGAAGAAAGTTTTGGGAGAGAATATCGAAGAAAGATAAAGAAAAAATCATTTTTCTTGTTAATCATTTTTCAGTTGGGCTTGTGAAAATTGGATTGACCAAATAGAACTGTGAAAAAATAATAATAATAATAATAAGTTGGAAGTTGAAAACCTAATGTTGATTATTCAATCAAAATGAAGTTTTAGCTTATCATAAAAGAGAAAAATTAAGTTGGTGTGCTATTTATGAAGATCTAAAAAAATAATTCTTAAATTGAATTCTCAAATCTGTTTGTATGGCTTATAGTTTATATTCCTTTGATGAAGTGGATAGAATCTACCGATTAGATTTATCGACTAGACTCCAAGTATAAAATCACCCATTGGCACAAAAATCATCCATTCCCTCAACCCCAAATATTCTCAAACTTATTGCCTGGTTGAGGGGACCAAGACCCCCATTTCGCATTCAATTAGAATTTACAATGTCTAGCTTGGGATATGAAAAAAAAAATGTGCATTTACAAAGTTGTGTGTCCGCATTCAAAAAGATATCATGCACAACTCATTTTCTGATCTTGAATGATATTAGCAGAGATTTACATTTCGTCTCAACTTATCAAACTACTCGTTATACCATCATCTATAATGCATTTAACAACTATTTTAGTTGATGGTGATGCCCAAGGGCAAGAGAAAACACAATCCGAACCCACCCCGTCTTTTTGTTTGTTACTATTTTTATTACTTTTTTTAAAAAATAAATAAATAAAGAGTTAAAGACCACCATATTGAAGAAGGTTTTGAAATGTTACACAAAATAGATTACAAAGTTCATTTATAAATGGACATTTTGGGGTCCAGTTCTAAAATTGTTATAGTATGAAAAGCTGTGTTGTTCTGTCATTGGCTTGTTTGGATTGTGTTGAGGTTGTTTTGGTTTTCATATTCACTTGTACATCATCTAAGACTACATTGGCTGCATAGAATTTGAGTCTTGAAATTAAAATTAATGGAATTGAAAAAAAGTTTAATTTAAAATTACAAAAAATTGAATTGAAACATTTTCCGATTCTACAAATTCCAATTATAGGGTTCCAATTCCATACAATCCACGGTTCAATTGCTATGGACATAGAGTCAATACAACTCCAGTGGCATTAGAGCATTGGATGAGCTCTGATTTCATTGTTTGATTTAAGTCTGAAAATTCATCAAAATCTGTAGAACTCATTACTCATTTACATGTGCTCTGTCCATCACACTTGTAGAAAAGTACTTACCATGGCTCATTACATGTGTTATTCCAAGTACAAAGCTTATGGGCATGAAACCTAATGGATAAGTGAAATCCAATTTTGAATTTGAGTGTGATCTTACTCCATCCAAAAAAGTGAAGTTTTTGGGAATTGAGAAATTTAAGACAAATACTTACCTTTAAAGAGTTGGGATGCAAAAAATTCTGCATTTGAGGCTGAAATGATACAACACTGCATTTTGGATGAGTGACCAAAAGTGTTGTGTTTGGGTTTTTTTTGGGCATATTGTGATCTACTAAGATCAATACATAATGATCCAATGTTTGAAATATGGCATGAAGTTCTGTGCAATAGCTTGTGTTTGTACTTCACTTGAAGATTTTTTAAAGAGTTTTAATCATTTTAAAACCTCGCCAATCTCAAAAAGTCAAAAACAACATTTGCAAAACTAATTCAAACATGCAAGTCATTGAGGGTGAGATCATGATATGAAGAAAAACTTTATTCAAACATGCAAGTAATTTAACAAGAACCTCAAGTCATTAAGGATGAGATAAAAAAAAAAAAAAAAAAAAAAACAGGTGTTCGATGAAATTCAACTATACACGCAATCTAACAAGAATCTCAAGTCATTAAGGATGAGATAATGATACGAAGAAAAACAGGTGTTTGATGAAATGACTAAAGAAAAGGACACAACTGAATTTTTTTTTTTTTTTCAAACTTTGAAATTTGAATGGAAAATAGGGTTTTTTTTTTTTTTTTTTTTTTTTTTAAGTTCAGCTCTTATATCGATTTTGAATTTCCATAATTCATGCCTTCTATTGCAACAAAATCAATCTTAAATTGTACTCTAGAACAAAGGACGGTGTTGTAGTTTCGAGGTATTTCTTTTACCTTCCAAAATGGTCGACAAGAATTCAAGTCTCCACGAGAACAAATGAGTACATTAGTTTTTTACCAAGAAAAAAAATTAAAAATTATACTCTGGATTGTTGTCTTCTGTTTTTCCTTATACACAAACATAACTTCAAAGCATTAGGGTGCAAAGAAAGAATTGCAGAGAGGGAATCATGGAGGATTTAATAATTCAATCAAGGAAAGGACGTAAAAAGTGAATGTTCTGTCCCCTGGTCGACTTTCTTTATAGAAAGGCAAAACAAAGATTTCAAATCTCCCGTTTTGACTAAAACTGTGTATTTCTTAGATAATTCAAGGAGTATATATTGTGTGCCGCGTGCGTGTGTGAACAGCAGTTAATGAGTGAGTTTGAATTTGGTTCAAAGATCTTATCACAGATCGTACAATTCTATCTCCACTTGTATGTTTTTTGTTTGTTTTTTTGGGTAAAGATCTCCACTTGTATGTTGATTATAAAGAATGTCACAATTCTTATTTCACATATTATATGTTAACAACCATCACTTTATATTTAGGGTTCGAATAAATGGTTTAAATTTAGAATTAAAAACTAAAGGTCTTGTGATATAAGTGGTATCTCTTCTATTTTTCAAAGTGAATGATGAGGGTTTAAATTTTCAAAGGAGCAAAATAGATGTGTGTGAGTGGTGTGTGTGTGAGTTTCTTATTAATAACAAAAATAAAATAAAATAAAATTGAAAAAAAATTAATTAAAAATTTAAACTAAATTTCTTACAATCCTAAATTCAAAGCACTAGTTCTTCGGTTCTCCAAATCCAATAATTTCAATGCAAATTTATAATGAATGCACTTTAATTAATGGATTAAGGGAAGCAAAAAAGTTCAATTTGACTTACAATAAGTTCTGATTAAAGTGTACACTATTCCAAGATGATGATGTGCTTGTATTTAATTAATTATCTCTATTTGTCTATATAACCTTGTATTTGCATCTTGATTTGTCTTGTTTCATAGCACCTAGTATCCGAGTGCATCTTGTATTTCAGTCTTTGTTTGCTTGAGTAGAGAACATAGTTTTTTTTTTTTTTTTTGGATATTATTTAGTGGTTTAATTGATAGAGCATTCAGCTTTTCGAATGATGTGTTCCTGTGTCTGTGTTTGAGTACCCTCCCCTAGTTTGCGAAGAAAAATAATATAAAAAACATATCTTTCTTTAAAAGTGGTCAAAATGGGCAATAATTTTAATCATTAGCTTTATAAGAAGAACAAACTCATAATTGGTAAAATATTTGTACTAAAAAAACTTTTTCAAATAATTAAAAATTAAATTGTATCTATTTAACCTTTTAGCTATGTTTAGAAGTACGGAATCAATACTTCATAATTGAAATCATAAGAAATTTAATTCAAAATATCCATTCAATATTCTCAAAAATAACCGACACGTATGTAATGTTATTTATTAAAACTTCCATTATCATCATCATATAAATGGAGGATATGTGTAAATAATATTCTGAATTTAAGATGGGTTAGGTTGCCGACTTTGCTAGTATGAATGCCTGCTGTTTATGTGCATTGTATTCCAAGTCAAATTCACATGCTTCTTCCTTGTAGGGAGGATAAAAAAAAGTTGAAGTCAATTACTTAATTCAAAGCTGAAGACTAATGAAAGTGACTTGCACAGTATGAAATCCAATTATGAAAAATATTAAATTTCCTTTATTTTCAAGTTTATTCACTTTAATTCACTGTTTTCCATGGAAAATTGGGTTTCTTCAATATTATAAAAATTCGATATTAAATGTAAACTATATGGATTTAGAAACAATGAATTCTATATTTTCCACCATATATATCTATTCTTCTTCAATCAATGATATCTTTATTAATTATAAAAAGGGTTGAATTCCAAGTTGATCTCTCTGTCTGCTAATAATAGAAATAACAAACAACTAATCTTTTGTCCACTGAGGAATATTATTTATTAGACAAGAAATAAACAATTAGGGTTAGGTGCGACAATGGAGTTGTCACACCTTAAAAATGGCTTAGTTAAATGAAATTAAAAAAATAAATTACATGTTGAGT